TTGGAGTGAGTCTGCATTAACGATCAAGTCCCGGAGACATCAGAATTAGAAGCTATTGGGAGAGAACGGAAGAAGCTGTTTGAGAGGGAAATATATTGATGTCGCTAGGTGCATCATTTGAACAGGGAAGCCATGTTGAGCATCATTAAGCAGCTCAAGGCAATTAAGTACAAAGCAGTGAATGCTACCGCCAAAACCCTCATTATGTACGGCATTGCCTAGTCTAGTTCTACAAGGGAACTGCAAGTATTTTGGAAGGGGAAGTAGAAGGGGAATATCCTACACACACTCACCCAACAAACTGTTGGCGTCCAAAGGAGATGTGCAGTTGTCACCACAGAGCAAAATGCTTCAGAGGATCAATCCACTCTTAAGAGGTGATGCAAGGAGAGTGATTTGATGGATTCCTGTCTGTGCCTTTTTCCTGATGACTTTGCTCACACAGTGACTCAGTATCTGGTTCTCTCCAGATTTTGTGGACTACAACTCCCATCAGCCACAGCCAGCATGGCTAGTGGGTTGGGATGATGGGAACTGCCATTCAACAATACCTGGGAAGGTGCCACATTGACTACCCCTGTGATAACTAAATATGGTTCTTGATTGTCGGCTGTGGAGCTCAGTCAGAGAACTATGCCTGTCTCCAAATGCCTGGTGCACTAGCTGTGATGATATCTGGAGCCAAAGTTAACGAGAACACCTTAGTGCAAATGTGTCGTAAGTGGCTATGGTGAGAGGCTTGTGTTCAGTGTGGCCATGAGCTCCTGGAAGGAGGGGTCAGATCGGCTGAGCAATTTGCCTTTTCAAGCAGGCAATCTGTGATCCTAGGCAGTGTTTCTCAAACTTGGGTCCCCAGCTGTTGTTGGACTACAACTCCCATCATCCCTGACTACTAGCCTTTCTAGATGGGGATGATGGGAGTTGTAGTCCAACAACAGCTGGGGACCCACGTTTGAGAAACACTCTGGCAGAATATGGTTCTATCTTCAAAAGCCCTCTGCCTGAGACGCAGAATGAGACAGCACCCTTATTTCAGATACAGAAGATTGTTGGGTTGGCAGTTGAATCTGATTTTGACACTGGTTGTGGGCCATTCTCTTTCTGAGAGTAACACAGCAGCTCAGGGGGCAGAGAAAGGCTATCTTCCCACATTGCCGCTCCCTGTCCCACAAGATCTGCCGCCTGAAGCAACCCCCTGACTCTGCCTTATGAGAGGGCCGGCCCTCGATCTTTGGGCTCTTGTCCTGATTAAGCACAGCATTGGAGGGATGCACAATCGGAGGTAGCAGGTTACTTTAGGTTTATGTCTACGCCCATTGTTTTCCTTCTTGCCTTTTGTAGTGGGTTACCTGAGCTGTCCCTGTGAGGTAGGTTCTGCTGAAACTTGGCATTTGGTTTCCTCGTGTTTTCTTCCTTTGCTGCTGAGTTTTCTTGGTTGGAGAAATGCACTGCATAGTAGGCACACCTGCCCTGTCCTAGCTTAGCTTAAGGCATCCAGGAGAGCCTCGATTGAAGCTGTGGCACTTACTGGAACGGCAAGCAGGTCACATCCAGGAGAACAGAGTCAAGCCAAGATCCTATGTAGGTCACTTTGGCTTAAACTCACCCACTGAGAACTGATACCTCAGTAGCATGGAGAGGCCTTGCCAGTGTCAGCTGGTCTGGACCTGCTGTCAACTGCACCCCTTCTGAGGACCTTTCTGTTTCTTAAAGGTCCATTGCCCGATTCTCTAGCTTTTGGCCCAGACAGTGTGGGAGCAATGAGGATTGCATTGGGTTGGGTGTCCTCTGATCTGAAGACTCAAGTGTGAAGTAGGGTTACCATATTTCAAAAAGTGAAAACCCTGATGCAAAAGTTGTTGAGCTTTAAATCTCCCCCCAAAATGAAGTTATTTTAAAGGAAATTCGCCAAAATATCAACACTTCCAACATGGGTTCCAATACGTCCGGGTTTTCCGAAGGATGAATCCCCGATATATCTGGGAAATCCCGGACGTATGTCAGCCCTAGGTGAAGTCTGTCCTCTGACCTAGAATCCTAGAATGAGGGCAGGGGGGTTATGGGTGATGCCTCCTCCCCTCTGAGTCTTCCTCTGAGCCAAAGGGGGGGATTGAGGCCAGAGGCTATGACAAGAGCTGCTTTGAGAGTCAATCCAGTTGTTGTAAGGAAGGGTTGCTGAGTGAGGACCCCCCCCCCGTGGTGGTGACCGAGTGCTCAAGTGGAGATAGAAAAGTTAGACAGATGTGAGAGTTTTGCTGCAAGCAGGGAAGGCCAATAAAGACAGAATTTTAGCACACAACATTTCCTAGATTTCTTGAGCCTGCCCTCACGTACTAAAATCAAATAAATAAAAATTAAAAACCCAGTAAGAGTTGGTGTGGTGTAGCTTAAAGTGTCAGACTGCAACTCCTAGGCTGCAATTGGCCATGAAATTATCTCAGTGACCATAGACCAGTCGCCACTTCTCAGGCTACCCTACCTCACAGGTTTGGAGGAAAGGGGGATATTTATGGAATGAAAAATCGAAGATCTGCTGGGTGGGGACAATTCAGTGTTTTTGCCTTCAGAGTCACATGTACACAACTTGCTGATAGTCCCCACTTTAAAATACATTTAATTATAAATGTGCTTTTAATACACAATTTGTGGCATTCATTTTTTTTCTGATCACAGAAAAAAAATACCTACAGTGGTACCTTGGGTTACAGACGCTTCAGGTTACAGACTGTGCTAACCCAGAAATAGTACCTCCGGTTAAGAACTTTGCTTCAGGATGAGAACAGAAATGCAGTGGCAGTGCGGCGGCAGTGGGAGGCCCTATTAGCTAAAATGGTACCTCAGGTTAAGAACAGTTTCAGGTTAAGAACGGACCTCCAGAACGAATTAAGTTCTTAACCGAGGTACCACTGTATTCCATAAGGTAGTTATGTCCTGGGAGATGGCAAACCTAATTACTGGGGAATAATCAGTACCCAAAAGAATGTTGTTGTGCTTTTTTAAACAACAACAACAATGGAATCGACAGGCCCTTTCTAACTGTCCTGTTTTTGGAGCTCTTTGGAAAATTAATTAAATTGCCCTTTAATGCGAAGAGTTTGGCTTCTGAAACAATGTTTAATGGCTCCATTTTGCAACGTGGGTGTAGCAATTTTCTTTCGATGGAAGTAGCTCTGATAATTTAATTGAAAAAATTGGATATTAGAGCTGCATTTGGGTATTTAATGGTTAATTTAAGGAAAAAAGGCTTTCCAGTTTTATCAATGCTATACTTCTTATTGGCTGGGCTTTTTAAAAAAGAGATTTTTAAAGAATCTTGCCTAAATCAATTTATAGCTACTAATTGGTTTTGAAACCTGACCCAAGAGGGATATGCAGGGAATGAAAAATACATTTCATGTTTAATCCTTAATCTTCTGCCCTAATGACATCCCATAACTTTGATTTCTACCTTAAAAGAATTATGCATAAGAAAAAAGTAATCTCATGAGCTTCTGACTGTAATATTTATAGGAGCCTGATGAAGAACATAATCTTGGTATTGGTATTTGAAATAACATTCCACATTCTACAGTGGAAATGTAATTTTTACAGCAGATTAGTATTGCTAGACCAATTGGTGCTTAGTATGATTTTGCAATAATTTATATAGTTGTCAAAAGAGTATAGGAAGAAGCTGCTTAAATTCTGAGTCAGACGACTGGTCCACCACCCAGCTCAGCATTATTTACAAACTTTGCAGTGACTGGAAGTGGCCCTCCAAGATTTCCAGTGGAAATCTTCCCCACTTCTGCTTGGAGTTGCTGCAGATTCAACCAAGAACCTCTTGCATGCAAAGGCCATGTTCTACCACTAAATCATAGAATCAAGGGGTTGGAAGGGACCCAAGGGTCGTCTAGTCCAACCCCCTGCAATACAGGGATCTCAGCATGACATTCAGCCACTTTTGAAACTCCAAAAATGGAGGACGACAGAAGACGCAGATTTGCATAAAACGTGTGTGTGCTGATTTATATGTACAAATGCAAACTTGGAAATAAGTGCAGTACAGTGGTACCTCGGGTTACAGACGCTTCAGGTTACAGACTCCGCTAACCCAGAAATATTACCTCGGGTTAAGAACTTTGCTTCAGGATGAGAACAGAAATCGTGCGGTGGTGGCAGCGAGAGGCCCCATTAGCTAAAGTGGTACCTCAGGTTAAGAACAGTTTCAGGTTAAGAAAGGACCTCCAGAACAAATTAAGTTCTTAACCTGAGGTACCACTGTAGTTTAAACAGAAATACGACATTCCATTGTAGTGAGGAAATCTCACCGGCTGACAACTCAGTCTGCTGTCCAGGGACTAGCTGTTGATGGGCAACTTCAAGGCCTTGATAGTTGGGCTGATCCTGACTTGCCCAGGCCCTCGCCTCAAGAAATTTCATCTTCTTGTATGAAGAAAGCAGAAAGGGGGGGCGGGGCACAGCTATTTGACCAGAGAGACTGAGAGGCAGAATTTTGCGCATTGATTCAAATGACCAGTGGGGAAATCTTAGTGGCAGGCCTGAGTTTATTCAGTTTTTAAAGCTAGTATTTTATTGAAGCCTCCTATATCATTGTATTATACAGGAACTTGCAATGTGCCATATTTTGCAATCAATCATTAATTGAAGTGTGGTCCCCTTGCAATACATAGTGCTTTCCTTGTAAGCATCAGGAGATCCCCAGCTACTCCCTACTGCAACCTCTCATGCCCCCACCCAAGTCTCCTGAAGTGGCTTTTCAGGGGAAATAGTCAGCAATGAAGGTCAGCTTGTCTTCATTTGCAGCCATAGGTGTCTTTGAGATCCTGGCTTGAAATGCTACACCATGGGGCACCGTCAGCTGGTTCAACAAAACTGTTAATTCACAGCAGCAAATCAACCCTTTATCAGACGGTTTGAAGGCCCACAATGTTCATCACTGGCCTCCCGTTTTGTAAGCAATTCATTAACTTGCTTTTCCCTCCACCTCCCTTCCTCAGATAAGATCCCGACTCCAACATGGGGAAACAGAACAGCAAGTTGCGCCCCGAAGTCATGCAGGATTTGCTAGAAAGCACAGATTTTACAGAACACGAAATCCAGGAATGGTACAAAGGCTTTCTGAGAGACTGTCCAAGCGGACATTTGTCCATGGAGGAGTTTAAGAAAATCTATGGGAATTTTTTCCCTTACGGGGACGCTTCTAAATTTGCCGAACACGTCTTCCGCACGTTTGATGCGAACGGCGACGGAACGATAGACTTCAGAGAATTTATCATTGCCTTGAGCGTAACATCCCGAGGGAAACTGGAGCAGAAGCTGAAGTGGGCATTCAGCATGTATGACCTGGATGGAAACGGCTACATCAGCAAGGCGGAGATGTTGGAAATAGTTCAGGTAGGTGTTACTTCCAAGATGTTTGTTCTTTCCTTCAAAAAGAAAAAGAAAGAAAGAATGCCGTTTAATGAACAATGATTGAGCAATAAAGCCTTCAGTATGCTTGGTCTTCCATAGGTTTTTGTTGTTGATTAGTCATTTAGTTGTGTTTGACTCTTCGTGACCCCATGGACCAGAGCACGCCAGGCACTTCTGTCCTCCACTGCCTCCCGCAGTTTGGTCAAACTCATGCTGGTAGCTTCGAGAACACCATCCAACCATCTCGTCCTCTGTCATCCCCTTCTCCTTGTGCCCTCCATCTTTCCCAACATCAGGGTCTTTTCCAGGCAGTCTTCTCTTCTCATGAGGTGGCCAAAGTATTGGAGCCTCAGCTTCACAATCTGTCCTTCCAGTGAGCACTCAGGGCTGATTTCCTTAAGAATGGATAGGTTTGATCTTCTTGCAGTTCATGGGACTCTCAAGAGTCTCCTCCAGCACCATACTTCAAAAGCATCTTCGGCGATCAGCCTTCTTTATGGTCCAGCTCTCACTTCCATACATCACTACTGGGAAAACCATAGCTTTTACTATACGGACCTTTGTTGGCAAGGTGATGTCTCTACTTTTTAAGATGCTGTCTAGGTTTGTCATTGCTCATCTTTAACAACTGCAGGGCTGGAGAACCCGTGGCCCGCCAGAGAGTGTTGGGCTCCCAACTCCCTTCAATCGTAGCTAGCATGACCATTGTTTAGGGATGGTGGGATCTGAAGTCCAACAGTCTGGATGACCACAGGTTTCCCCATACCTGAAAAGTAAAACACCCAGATCTGCCTAGATCTTTGAATATGCACCTCCCTGGAGTTGTACCTGTCACTGCAAATAGACTCTTGGAATAAGCTGTGTCTTACCTAACAGCTTCCTTCCTCTGGTTCAACACATCAAGCTAATAAATTGTAAGGCTCTTTGTCAGCTAGAATTCCTATCTCTGTGACCGCAGGACAGATCTCTTGTCTGTTTCATGAATAGGGATGGACAAATCTGTCCATTTTGGTTTCTATCCACTTCTCATTTTCTCAATCTTAAATTCAGCTCTCCCCATTTCCACATTAGTTTCCTAATTTTTATTTTGAAAGACCATGTGCAAAATTTATATGTGTGTGTGTGTTTCTCCTTCGTGCTCAATCATTGCAAGCAATTTCCTCTAATATAATTTGCACTATTAAAGGAATATTTGTGTGCACTTTAAGTAATTTCCCTTCCCCCAATCCTTAGTTGTTGATGGAATATTAATTGCACATCTGTAGAAATGATTTTCTTGAGTTTAGAAAGTGTATATTTTTTTTGTATTTTATCTTTATCTTTTTTTATCATGATCCTTTATTTTTGACTGCTTTGATGGCCTCAGGCTGTGGAGCAGCTTATCGATTTGAAAAACAAATAAAACAAAATACACTTCATCTGATTCAGAGAAAGCTGTGTTACCCTTAGTTAGAAAAATAGGTTGTCGTTCTTGTTTCCAAATGGGAGTTCAATCAGAAAAAAACTATAGTGGAAAGCAGCCATAAAACTCTTGCTACCCTTTCAAAGTGTGAGAGCCAATGGATGGCTATTTATACTGGTGTGTTCCTGGGTGTGCCTGGAACCCTGAGCTGTATGTAGAAGGGGAGGAGGAATCTACTCTGCTCAGATTCCAAAGTGGATTCACCCAATCTCATCCAGGTGCACCATGACCCAGGTTGCATCAGAGGTCCATTTCAGAATCCGCAGGATGCTGAGCTAGATGGGTGTTAGTCGGATCCAGCGGGGATCTTTCTAACATTCTTATGTAGCTGATTCTATCCAGAATAGTGGTACCTCAGGTTACAGATGCTTCAGGTTACAGACTCCGCTAACCCAGAAATAGTACCTTGGCTTCAGAACTTTGCTTCAGGATGAGAACAGAAATCGTGCTCTGGCGGCATGGTGGCAGCGGGAGGCCCCATTAGCTAAAGTGGTGCTTCAGGTTAAGAACAGTTTCAGGTTAAGAACGGATCTCCAGAACGAATTAAGTTCTTAACCCGAGGTACCACTGTATCCTGAACACCATTTGGAGTGAAGACTGCTGTGCAGCTCATCCGCTGTAGATAGCAAGCCTCTCCAGCTTGTTCTCATGCACACAACGGAGTTTGTCTTGAGTTTCATTACTTTTGACAGTCTGTGCCATTCTGGGTTTAAATTTTCCCAAGGTAATGGCAGGAGCTAGAGGAGCACTGGAGCAGAGCATCTGCTCCTGCCCAGCAGGTAGCACTCACCAATCTTTCACTTGCGCCACATTGCTCTAAACTCTCTGGAGCAAGTTTGCCTATTTGGGTAAGTTTGCATAGCAGTCATAGGTTGCAGGGTCACGATTTATGAAATATGCATGTGTGTGTGTGCCAATTTAGAAAAGGGTGCTATAATTTAGATAGAAATGCAATACCTCTTGCCATGGTGGGGAAGACTGGGCAGAAGAGCCCTTCAAATAAAGGATGCCTTCAGATTGGCCACCCTGATAAATCGCAAGGGGAAGAAATAGAAATCAACATCCTCTGGATAAAACATAGTGACTGCCTTGGAATCTTTTCCCCCCTGTATCTCTGCTTCATTCTGCTTTTGAAACTGTTTTTGTGGGTTTCGGGCCGTAATAAAGAATGTATGTGTGCAATGGGAAGAAACTTAAAATAGCTCAGGACCGCAGGACCTGAATGACTGCTTCTCCCCATATAAACACACTGGGACTCTGTGTTCATCATCTGAGGCCCTTTTGGTGTGCCTCCTTTATTAAATTGTGGGTGGACATAGCAGTCGACACAGAGATTTCTCCACGTGGTTCTTTATAGTAAGCTGGAACTGAACTGAACTGAACTGAACAGCTCAGCCGGCCTGCTTTTATGGGCTTTCCCGCCTAAATTAACTTACGTGGACCTGAATGAAAACTATATACACAATACCCCTGGTGGCCAGGGTGAGAACTTCAATACATAACATCATTTAAATGCATTTGTAGGAGGCGGGGTTATTTTTGTTGGTTTGTTCCTGTTTTAACTATTTATTTGTGCTTTTATCTCGTGTTTTTATCTTGTGAACTGGTCTGAGATCTTTTGATGAAGGGCAGTGTATAAATCCAATAGATCGACCGACAGATAGATAGATATGTGCTCCTGAAGAGGCATGGAAGACCACATTTTACAGTAGATTTAAAGGATAGTACAGCGGATTTAAGGGGCAATCCTATGCATAAGAAGCTGGCCTAAAACAAGCCATTGTAAGTTAAGCCAGTATAAAGTTACACCAGTCCCAAACACTGCTTAGTGGTGTCTCTACTGCTGCTGCTTCTGCTATGCTTAAGCGTGGCAGAGGGGAAACAAGCCTTTAAAATAGTGTTCTACGATTCTTTGGGGGAAACTTACATTGGCCTTGGCTCAGCCAGCTGAGTCCCAACTGAGCTGGGATAAGCAAGGTACACAGAGGTATTTTTGGCTGAGCCAGGGTTGGAGACTTAACACCAGCTGAGGTAGGATCCAGCCCATTGTATCAGAGATCAGTTGCATCCAAAGTTGCTCATTGTTATGTATTGAAGTTCTCACCCTGGGCCAGCAGGGGGATTTTGTAGATAGTTCAGGTCCACATATGCAAATAAGGGATCGAAAGTGACGTTCAGTGATTGGATAGTTACAGAAAGTTGTTATAGTTACGTTGTACTGGAGCTCTATATAAGCAGGCTGGCTGAACCCTTCAGTTCAGTTCTGTTCTGGCCTGTGAATAAACAAGAGCTGCTTGAAGAATCGCTGTGTCGTCTGATATGTTCACCCACAACTTAACACTCATCCTGGTGGATCTTCCTTGTTCCTTAATGGAAAAGAACAGAACTCCTTGTGGGTTGGGGAGCTCTGTGTAGTCATCAGAGCCTCTGGAATCTGTAAGGGATAGCAGTTGTTCAAGCTGGTACAATTTTAACATGCTTAGGAGTCTTCATCAAAATGATTTTTTTTTAAATAAAATGATTTTAAAAAACCACACAAATCAGATAAGGTTTTCTTTGTTTTATGGTTGCTTTTAATTAACATATTTTGTAAGCTGCCTTGAAAATATTAATTTAATGGCAGGATAGAACAAATCCTTAACTATATAAATGCTGTTCCCTCCAACAAATAATGATAATTTTAATTGCAGAATATGCCCGTTCTTTCTGCACCTGGCTTCTGGTAATGAATGCCAATATTTCATTTGCTCATCCCACACTATTTTTCATAACTTTGGGGTGACTGAAGGAAAACTGTTGTTACAATGCCAGCTGCTGATGGAGGCAAGGGAGAAATACTTGATTATATTAACCAAGCATTAATATTCCATTAAACTGATAAATGCCTTTCTGCGCACATATTGGTCCTCTCTGTTTAAAGTATAACAGGGCTGGAAGGTGTACTGGGTTGGTAAGCAGAAGCAAAAGAGCTAGAAACCTGGGGTAGTTGTGAGCTTGGTGGGAATTAAGGCTTGCAATCCTATGCACTTTTATTTGGGAGTAAGCCCCATTGAACTCAATAGGACCTGCTTCTGAGTAAACATGCATCGCATTGCCCTGCACTTGCTCCCCAGTGCTGCACCAACAGCCCCTGATTAACATTGTCTTCCGTCATGTCACTTAAATTGCTGTTCTGCATCTTCCAGAAAATATGATTTAATAAGGTAGACTGGAGCAGTGACATTCTGTCGTTTGATGAAGACAATATTTTATTGAGGCAAAGCTATTTTGGATTAAATTTTGCATAAATGAGAACTTCAGGCTAATTTGGAGAATCTTGCTTGAACAAAACTTCAGAGTTTCCATTTGGCCGGTTCCAAGTAGCAGCTTTCTGGACTTATTGAAATTCTCAAGAGGTCTTCAAAGGCTGATCCATTTTCATGACAACTTTTTTTTTTTAAGCACAGCACAAACTGATGTGGGAATTTGGAGGGCTGAATTTAAGATCAGAAAACTCAGGAACTGAGAGAAACTTTGTCCCACCCTTGCCTGTGAGCCACCCAAGAGGAGGACATTGCTAGGCACTTAGGTGGTTCGAGATGCTGACCCTTGACACAAACAGGCATAAAATTTGCATATGCTAATTGGTACTCATAGGGACGCGGGTGGCGCTGTGGGTAAAAAGCCTCAGCGCCTAGGGCTTGCCGATCAAAAGGTCGGCGGTTCGAATCCCCGCGGCCGGGTGCGCTCCCGTTGCTCGGTCCCAGCGCCTGCCAACCTAGCAGTTCGAAAGCATCCCCGGGTGCAAGTAGATAAATAGGGACCGCTTTCTAGCGGGAAGGTAAACGGCGTTTCCGTGTGCGGCTCTGGCTAGCCAGAGCAGCGATGTCACGCTGGCCACGTGACCCGGAAGTGTCTCCGGACAGCGCTGGCCCCCGGCCTCTTGAGTGAGATGGGCGCACAACCCTAGAGTCTGTCAAGACTGGCCCGTGCGGGCAGGGGTACCTTTACCTTACTCATAGATGCCTTTGAGCAAATTAGATTGAGGAGAGGCCAGGGTCTCCCTCAGCAATGTAATGTGCCTTGCTGCCCTGGGAGCAATGTAATGATGAATAAATAAATGGGAAAGGAACAGGCAGTTGGGATCCAGCATAAAGGAATGGGGGCAAGGACCCCCCACATCCTAGAGTAGTCTCGGGAATCACAACAGTGATCATCACTACTTTGTGTCCCGCTTCTTAGGCAATCTACAAGATGGTTTCTTCGGTTATGAAGATGCCAGAAGACGAATCGACACCCGAGAAAAGAACAGAGAAAATCTTCCGCCAGATGGACACCAACCGGGACGGTAAATATCTTTCTATGCTCTCTCTTTAGCTTGCTGGCCTCTGCTTGTTCTGGTCTCTCAAACACCTGTCAAACAGCTGGAGTGACTGAATAAACAGAAGGAATTCCATGCTAATGAGGCCCCTGATATGTATGTAGCAACTGGGCTCTCAAGGATCTGTGCAGTGCTGACTGCTTACACTATTATGAGAAAGCCGTAGAAGGTCAAACTATGCTTTTTTGGGTAGCTTTTGCAGGCTAGCAGTTTGGCCCATAATTTCTGGAAGCAATCACAGCTGAATAGAAGCCTGCAGGAAGCACAGGTCACAAATCAGGGCTCTGATGGCACAACAGGAGGCTGTCTTGGGAGTTATTGTGCTAGAAACCTCCTTCCTGGTCCTTCGAACCCTGGATCTGCTCCCAGGTCAGGTGCTAGGAAACCACTCTAAATGTTTTTTCCTTCTTTCTCCAATGCATCCCAAGTCGACTGTCACTCAGAGCTGAACCACATTTTACTAAACTCTGGGAAAGTGACTGGTGGCCACATATTTATCTTACAACGCTGGTGATGTTGAGATCTGAAGTCAGAAATATATTAAAAGTCTTTGCAAAGTGTAGGTGTCCTTGGGGGAGGGGGGAGGGAGGAAGGGAGGGAGGGAGGGAGGGAGGGAGAAAGAAAGAAAGAAAGAAAGAAAGAAAGAAAGAAAGAAAGAAAGAAAGAAAGAAAGAAAGAAAGTAAGTCCTGGTGTAAGAGTTTTTATCATGCCTTGGCTGACTCAAAATATTATTTTTCTTCTGTATTGTAGATAATTCCTAATGCAGCAGATCAGTTTCAGAAAGGCTTTTGGAACTGGGTTACAGGTGATAGTGCTCATTGGTTTAGTGGTGGGATAAACCTTTGCGTTCAGCAACAGGCTCACAAGCCACTATTAGGTTTGCTGAGTTGCAGCCTGTGAGAATTGCCCAATCACAACTGTTTCAATAAAAAAGAAACAGTGCATTTTGTGAACGAGAAGGTTTCGTATGCATGGGAGTCATCCCAGGTGCATTTACCTATGGCAGCGTCTTCAGTTTTTCCCGAAATGTGCAGGAATGAATGTTGTGTGTGAAGCGGCTCTTAAGATGCTTTGTCCACTATAGAATTCCAAAACAGCATCTCTATTTATTTTCTAGGAAAACTTTCTCTGGAAGAGTTTATTCGAGGAGCCAAGAGTGACCCATCCATCGTCCGTCTCCTTCAGTGTGACCCCAGCAGCGCTGGGCAGTTCTAAAACAGTTGCTTGGATTATTTCATGTCTCTGGGGGTTTTTTTTTGGTTTCTTTTCTCTCTCTCTCTCTCTTTTTTTGCCAAAACAACATTCATGGTGGCATTGCCTCTGTCTGGCCAACTATGCCTTCTTTTGTGGCACCTTTCGCTTTTGTTGTGGCAGATCAGGTAGAAGTTGTGCTAGGAAAACACTCTCCCAAATGCATACAGAGAGAGCTGCCCACACAACTATGTCAGTTTTCAAATGGTTGTCACAATCTGCGCGGCCTGGTCCTCAATCAGTTTGCCTGGGAGCAAATCCCACTGGGTTTGAACAGGACTTCCTTCCAAGCATGCTTAGGATTGAAGCCTTAAGTTTTGATTTGTCCGTCAATTCCAAGCTAAAAAAAGAGAAATGTGGAAGGGACGAGAGCCCTTTGCCAGAAGTATGTAGGGTTCTGAGACATACATGGAGTAGTGCGCAAGAAACGTCTACCGTGTTCCCTTCAGTGCTGGGGAATGCCGAAGAACATTCTCTGGCATTGCAGCAAATGAAGAAGCCTCTTTCAGAGCTCCATGTGTGCACCAGTGATGCTAGTGGCAGGGTTTGGATCACAGTCAGACCAAGTAATTTAACATTCCTGGCGGCATTCAGCTACGTTTTAATCAGAATGGACCCACTGAGATTCATTGAATTGTAGAGTTGGGAGAGACCCCTAGGGTCATCTAGTCCAAGCACCCGCAACGCAGGAATCACAACAAAAGCATCCCTCACACATGTCCCTCAAACATCTGCTTAAAAACCTCCAGTGAAGGGAGAGTCCACCACCTTCCGAAGGGGTCCACACCAACATCAAATAGCTCTTGCCGTCTGAAAGGTCTTCCTAATATTTAGTCAGAATCTCCTTTCTTGTCATTTGAATTGATTGGTTCGGGTCTTGCCTCCTGGAGCAGGAGAAAACAAGCTTCCAACTTCCATGTGATCCCCTTCAGATATTTGAAGATGGCTATCGTATCGCCTCCTTTTCTCCAGGCTTAACTATTCTTCACAAGGCTTGGTTTCTAGAGCCTTGATCATCTTGGTCACCTAACATGACTAATGTTCATTCCTTTCCATGGGTCTACCCCGAGTAAAGCGTAGTTGAATGCCACCGTCTGTCTCCATGTTATGCTAGAGGTGGGCTGCTGCAACAAACCTCTGTAAGGTCCCTGCTTATCTCTAATAAAATTACCTGTGGTCACTGCTTAGAGGTAAGCATGAAGGTTTCTAGAGTTAAACGCAGCCCTTAGTTCCTAGTACAGCAGCCAAATGAGTTCTGTGCACAAATCCCAAGTAATGTGTGCCTGGCAGGTGTGATATTTGCTGTTCTAATCATTCAGCCTCAATAAACACAATCAGGGGGACCATTTGATACATTGGGTGTAGATTTAACCCATGGACAATTCCTTTTAGCGGCCAAGGTGCGAGTTAGAGGAGAAGGCAGGGGGGGGGGGAACGATAGACACCAGTGCTACCATGACACACACAAAGGACAGCGCACCTTGCCTATCGGTGATGCCTCCACAGCGCTGGGGAGCTCTGAATGCTTCTGTATGATGAAGGTGCGGTGGGTGGGGGAGAGAGAAGAAAGGTTGTTCAGCTGCCTTCTCTGGGTGATGCGACTGCATTTCTTCTTAAAAGGAGGACATGCATTTGGAGAGAGGGCAGAAGAAAATGCCACACAGCAGTTGTGATGCTGGCTGTTGGTTACCATTGGGATCAGGGAAGGCAACTTGTGTATGTGGGAAACTTGAATTGAGGAAATCCAACCCTTGGGGGAAAGTGAAAGTTTTGGTGGGCTGATGATAAAGAAGAAGCACCTACAACTCAAAGGCCACTTTCAGGGAAGAGAGCAACAAGGAAATGGCAGGATTTGGTGGTTGGAAGACAGAGAAATCTTGGAGGTGTCCTTTTTCTCTTCCTTCTTATAGACAGAAGAAAGTTGACAAGAGTCAGGTGATATGCCAGCAAACATGTGTTTCCTAAACACATGCCTGCCAAACTTTGGGAAAGCAGGATGCAGTTTTTAGGGGGAGAATAGCTTAACTCTCCTTGCACTTGCCAATTCTCCCCTACAAACGCTCCTCCAAGGTCGTAGAAATCATAGCGTCAGGAAGAGGCACCTTGGAGGTCATATTGTCCAACTCCCTGCTTCTGCAGAGCAGAATGCAGCTCATCATCTCTGCCAGATGTTCACCCAGTCTCTGCATCAATACCTCTAGCAAAGAAGAGCTTGTTGCCTACTGAGGCAGGCTGTTCCGCTGTTCCATTTCCCCATGCCTTCTTCTGGTCTTGGAACCAGATTGGCAGAAGAACAGTGGGATCAATAGGGCAGCATTTGCAAAGGAGAATCAGCAGGGTTAAATTCCCCACCCCCACCCCCACCCGCACACCACTTCCCTCCTGCAAATGCCCTGCGCCTGCATCAGAGATAAACTCAGTACTGGGAACCTGGTGTTTGATTTGTAACGTGGTTCTGTCCTGAAGAAGCAGCAGGAAAACCCCCCACAAACTTGCATGTGGAAGAAAAGCAGTGGAGGAGTCACTTCAGGTTGAGCACTCAAAATCACAGCACAATTTGAGCAGCTGACACGGAGGGAAGCATATTGATTTGGGTGCGGTTTGGTTTCACAATTGCAGAGGGGAGAAAACTCACCAACCAGGTGCCCCTTTCTCCTTGGGTGTCCACATTGTAAAGTGGTCTTGTGAAATGGCTAGGTTTGTTTTGGTTTCTGGTTTTCACGTGATCTCGCCATGTGGTTGCACTTTCACAACACCATCTGAATCACACCTCAGAAGTGGCTGTGTGAATCAGCCTCAAAACTTATCTATATCCTGGGTTGGTTGGTTTTTTTAGGCAGGGCACACCTGGGACCATGGGAAAACGCTAGCATCCCATACTGTTCAGATATTAAATTGTAGGATTCATGCATCAGTACACCACCATGGTCTGTACTGAAACATGGAAATGGTGCCATTTGTGATATATTTATATATACTTAAATATATATTAAAATATTTTTTTAAAATATAAAAAAACTATAGGAGAAAGATGTTGGACTTTTATCTCTTTTTTTGCTTTCTTTTGCCTGAAGGCAATTGATTATTTTGTTTTTCCTCTTCTTCTTCTTTAGACCTCAGATAGTTAGATGGGGAAAAGCAGAATCAAAATAATAAGCACAATTTAAGCTCACAAACAAGAATACGGAAACCCACCAGTTGTTCTGGAAAAGGGTTAGAGGAACCTGTGCCCCCCCCATTTTTTGGTTAGATTCCAAGTCCTGTTCATCCCAGCCAGCATGGCCAATGGTTAGGGATGAGGGGAGTTGCCACTTGATCAGCATCTACATTGCACCAGAATGAAGGTTGGCAGAAGGTAGATCAGGAACTGTCAGTTGATCTTGGGGTGATTTGCAGGAGATTGGCAAGTGTTTCTTCTCTCCCAACGGTTTGTTTAACAATAGCAAAGGCCAGCATGACCCTCTCCTGCAGCCCCACCTGAAATTAGGCTGTTTTGATGAATGAAGCTTAAAGAGAAGGCAGCTGTGAATCCCTCTGTGTGTGAAAGGGCTGTGAGATCAGTCCCTGGCCCTTAACCCAAAGCATACAGAAGCCTAGCCAACGCTCCATTTTGTGCCAGCGGATGGACCTCCCAAGTTCCAGTAAAAATGAAATAGACCCATCAAGCCTCAAGCTCAAAGCCATCTGGCCAGCTGTTCTGATGCAGGGTAAGGGAATAGAGCTGCTTGTTGATGGGAACATCCACAGGGCTCCACGGGTGCTACATGGGAGCGCTTGCATCTGCAAGGGCTACATCTTTTGCTCTGGCACCTAGAGGGAAGAATGCCAGGGTGGGTTGCATCTCCAGGTGTGATGGGGGAGCTAGCAGAGTGCTGTCTGCAGGCTGACGGGGGTCTCCTTTGAGAACTGTATGCACAATGGGGGTGTAAGCTGGCAATGGCTCCTCTCCCTTCAGACTCTCACAGTTGCTTAGCTAGGAAAACGAGAACCCCAAACTCTGCACCACTTGGGTCACAGGGCCGCCATTTCACGTCACAGTGGAGGAGAGATTCCCAGCAGAAACGAAAGCAGTGAGTTTTAGGAACATTTGTTGCGGCCACAGAGTACCTTGCAAGAGAACCACAGCTATGTTATTAACAAAAGCAAAGTGGGCATTGCCTACCTTCTTAAGTGAGGGATTCTTTTATTGCTTCTGACTTGCAAACCTAATCCATGGGTCCATTTCATTGATGTGATAACAAAGGCCAGTGAACTGGTCCGATAGAGGTGCTCCTGAGGAATAGTCCAATGGGATCTAAAACAGGGCACCTGCCTTTCATTTCCCCCCTCCCCATATGCCAATCTGGCAGACTTTTGAGATAGTTTGTCACTTATTGAGGCTATGTATCTATACATAGTGCACTGAGAGGAGGAGGAGAAAGGGCTTCCTGGGATTTGTCAAAAGTAACCTTGTGGAGACAGAGCGCAGCTGAGCCTTAATGCAAAGCAAGGTTAGTTCTGCTGCTGCTAACATTACATGGTCTAACTTGGAGTATAAGCAGCAACTATTGTTGACTAGATGTTTAGTGAGACTGGCAGTGATCCTTTGTACCATGTGGGTAGCAGAACATATATTCACTCCCAAAGCAACCAAATCCCCGAAGAGATGTCCCAGTGCAATGTGTTCTTCTCTACCATCCAAGCTGCCTACTGGCTGTTTATCAGAGCCAAAACAAGGCTTCTCCCGACGATTCCTGTCTAGAAATAACTAACAAGGTGATAGTCAAGTCATACTAAACCACGGGTGTCAAACACAAGGCCCGCGGGCCGAATTCGGCCCGCCAGACCTCATCATGTGGCCCGTGTAGCCGCCGCTGGACACCAGCCTTCACCTTTTATTCTCGCTTTTTTTTTTTTTGACACAAGAAAGCCACCTCTTCAGCGCATGCGCGGCAGCCTGCAAGCCAGAGAACGCCTGCCCTCTAGCAGCGCTGGCCGTTCTCCACAGGAAACCTCCACTTTACATGCATTCATGTAAAGTCCTACAGATACAACCGGCCCTTTGAGGGTGACCAAACTGCTGATGCGGCCCCCGATAAATTTGAGTTTGACACCCCTGTACTAAACTAAGGCAACTCCTGTGCCCTTAACCTAAGGGGCCATGTCAAAATTACTCAACGGTATAGCTAGGGGACGTTCCCCAAATACCCATCACAGATACATCCACATGATATAATCCTCGGCCTTGCTGGTTCCAAATCATTCTTTTGCCAGCAGCTTGTGGCCATGTGACTCCAGAATAGGGTTGCCACCTGTCCTGTGTAATACAGGATCTTCCTGTATTTCAGTGTAAAATGCCATGTCCTATGTTGATTCAATACAAGACACTATTTGCCCTGTATTTCCTTTATTTCTGTTCTGTTGTGCTCTTTTGCTTTCACTCCCTTGGCCAAGTTAAGGATCTCCCCCCCCCCCCCGCCTCTCCCTCTTTCTTGGCCATGTTAGGGTTCTTCTCCACATGCCCCCCTCTGCTACTGCAGGGAAGGCATGGATCCAGGTGGTTTTTCTTTGGTCCCGCCATTTTCCCTGGGAAAACCCACTGTTTCCCCCTGAATCGAAACAAAGGTAAATTGGGTTTTAGACAGATTGACAGTGCTTCCGATTCAGCAGTAAATGGAGGGTTTACCAGGGGAAAGGAATGAGACAAAAAAGCAAAACTGCTCAGACCCCAGCCACTGCCCTGTGCCTAGAAATTGTGGCACGAACAGAAGTCTGAGTGAGCCCCCAGGCGTGTCATGAAGCACACGTCATTGCTTCCAATAGCTAACTGGCTTGTAAAGTCATTTTTAGTGGCCACACACAAATTGACACTGGTATAATTCTAAAGGAATAGTTTGCATGGAGCAAGAAGCAAGGCATTAGCGTATATATGTATAGATATCATTGCAGTTACGTTGTGTGTGTGTGTGTGTGTGTGTGTGTGTGTGTGTGTGTGTTTTGGTAGCCGTTACTGTAGTCGCTGGGAAATTCTCTCTTTGAAATTCCCACTGCCTCGCATAGCTTGCATGCAGCAATGGTAACCTATTAGGCAACCGTTACTTGGATGGTACCACAGGGCGTGACTTGAGCATAGATAGCCATTTCATATAACGTAGGGCCAGAAACACACCTTTCATTATTTTTATGTCTTGAAAACTTGTACGACTGTTATGAAATAGTAAGAGTTTGGCCCATCCTGTTTGATAAAATCTTGAGAGATGTTCCCGACTGCAGAGTCCTGGGTTTGGGCATATTGCTTAGTATACAGAGAGTGATTGCCTCTGAACCTTCCGCCAGTGTCTTCCCATGTGTTTTGTCAATTCCACCAGAGTGGCAGTTGATTGATCCCACCATACACATGTTTGTGTTACAAAACCGATAATATTTTGTTAATTTCATGGTTCCAAGTTAGACTAAAAGGCCATCTTGAAGTTGCATCCAATCTCCTAGCTATGAAGCCACGTTGTAAATGGTGTTTGTCACATGGCAAGTTCTTCTGCTGCCTGTTGGAAAACAGGATTTTGACACGCATAGTAATTCAACTAGATGAGGTGGCTGCTACAGCAGAGCTGCAAAACTTGTGATGGAGGTTTCTGATGGAGAGCCTATGGTCGTTCCCCCCCCCAAAATGCCACACATCCTCCTCCTTTCATTCATCAGCAGGAACAGGGCAGAGTTGCTTCCCTGGCTTCCCAATGCAGAGGTAGCTGCTGCTAACTAAGAGGTGAGGCGGCAGGAAGGTCCATGTTGGCAATGTGGCAGAGCCGATCTGTCACTCCTGAGGCTGCCCCTTGCCTCTCTCCCTCTTGGTTGCCAGCAGCGACTTCTGCATTGGGAAGCCAAGTAAGTAACTTGTTTGAAAATGTGCTGCTAGTGCCATTACAAAATGGCTGCTGTGGTGTGCGGCATAACACAAAATGGCTGCCAGAACAGAGCGGGGAGGGGAGAGGAACACAAAATGGTGTGGGCATGTTTCCCCTCAATGAGAAAAAGCATTTACACCAGCCACCTACTTCCATGCTTGCTCACAGAGAGGAGGTTCTTTGCTCTGTTCTGAAGGAAGGGTGGGAATGAAATGTCATGTTGAAGGAAGCATATTCAGTATGGGAGAAACCAAACCAGGACAAAGAGGAATTGAACAGCAAGAGCATATAGTCTGCCATGCAGTGTGGATTTTTGAGGGGATAATTACTGAGATTCTTCACAGCTGGCATAGGAGGTAATTGTGGGCACACTGGCACCAGGTTGGCAGCCGTCGAATTGATGCAATTGCCTGTTGTGTTTGGAGCACATACTCTTTTCCAAAGGTGGCAAAGTTAGCTCTCAAAGTCTAAATTACTTCCATCCTATCGTAACTCCCATAAATGCTTTAGGGTGGGATCCAGCCACATCTTCACTGATGGAATTTTCAAAACATGAAGCATAACCCTGTCATGATGTGTTTTAAACCCCTATCATCGCTGGAGCATGGAGAAAGAGCTCTGTTTGTAAGGAGGCTTAAGACTTGAGCTGGGGGGAAATTCAGTTCGGTTCTCATTTAAACACAGGCCTGTGTAATTTGCACTTCCTGAAACAACGCACAAACTGATACACAGCCGTCCTTCAAGATTTGCACTCCTTTGAATTTTGCAATGCAGTTCCCCAGCCAAATACAAAAGATGTGTATATTAGGGAAAAGTGTGCATTAAAATGCATATATTAGTGAAAATGACATAGAGGAATGTGTATATTTGACTAAACTGCATACAGAAATGTGTGTATTAGGAGAAATTCACATTAAAATGCTGGCAAATATTTCATGAGGACTCCTTTGGGGGGTGGGAATTGTGAAATGTTGTGGAAATGTGGAGAGCTGCACTTGAGACTGGGGAAATGAGAAACTAAGAGAAACTAAAATTAACAGATTTGTCTGTCCATCATCAAGAATCATATACAATTATTAGTTTCAACCCTAGGCCATCAGTGCAGACTTGGAAGATACAAAGTAAAGCTAATAGACCTTTAGTTGAAATCACAAAAGGCTGTGGCCACAAGGTGTTGCTTCTAAAAGGCAAGCGGATGTCTTCTCAAAATGTTGCTTTTCGTCTAAGCCGCTGTGCTCACCCATTTGCTGCAACGCTCAGAGAACCTTTTGGCTCAGGGCCTTGTTGTCGACTTTAGGGACACGGCATGTGGTTCCTTCTCTGCTATGTTAAAACCAGAATAGAGTCGATTTTGATATTCATATGTGAAAACAGGCCAAAGGCGGAAGGCCAGAAACAGCTGCACAGAACAGAAATAGGTGGAGTTGTTTTTTACACACATCTTGCAGCCCAAGCCTATACACAATTACAGTGGTACTTCGGTTTTCGAACGTAATCCATTCTGGAAGACCGTTCGAGTTCCGAAACGTTCGCAAACCAAAAACTCAATACGGAAGCCTCAATATGGAAAACTCAATATGGAAGCTGCGTTTCATGTTCGACTTCTGAGGTACGTTCGAAAACCGAAACATTTACTTCTGGGCTTACAGCGTTCGAGTTCCAAAATGTTCCTCAACGGATGGAGACAGAACCTGCTTGTCACCTGGCCAGATGTGGCAAAAAAAAGTTGATTTAAAGTCAATGCTGTTTCTAGATGGAGGTTTATAGTGGGATCAGGACTCCTTTCCATGGGGCGGGGGGGAGGACTGTTGTCAACCGGCAACAATTTGCAATAGCCCAATGATCAGCTTGCAAATTAAGTCCCCATATGGAAGCACCCTGCAAGTCATGCCTTCCTTGCAGCAAAAAAAAAATCCCTAGAATCGTGGAGTGACACTTCTCCTTCCTGTTGCATGCCCCCCCCAGCTACTTTTGAGGTGGGTGACCCTCACCCCATGGGATGCCATGGGATGTGGCATGGGGGGGGGACTATAGCAGGAAGGGAAAATGGATGCATACTGCTTGCATAAAAAGTGGTTTCTGCTAGCGTCGTGGGATCCAAGCCATTCTCTCACTTTTGCTTCTCCCCCTCGTTCTCATGTGAAAATCTACAGACTATATGAAGATCCCAATTCCTGCTTTTTAAAGAGTTCATGGCCCCAGGACAGAAAGGCACATATACACCTTGCTAGATGAGGAAGTCTGTGTGTAATGGTGCAGCACTCACCTGCCTTGTTCAACCCATCACCCAAGGTAGCAGTAGCACCTATCAGCAGTTCCAAAGGGGGAAGCATCAGACTGCATTTGGTTCCATCTCTTGTCACACTGGTAGAAGAGCTGGAGAAAGCATTTTAGCAGCTACTGGGTTGTTTCCAAGACCGACAAAGAGCCCTGTCTAACTTGAAAGCTTGCATACTCACTCTGACCTGGTTCCAGTAAAAGAGATAGCTGCTGAGAATCCAGTGGGAATAAATTGCGGGTGCCTACTGACTTTCCCGTTGTGCCTCCTTTTTTCTTATGCAGCCTAAAGGCAAGCCATCAGATGAACATTTTGGAGCGCAGGCGGCTGTATTACAGACACCTATGCCTTGTGCAGACCCATGGTTAATTGTCTAATAAATCATCCTAGCTGATGTGCCATCAGAGACACAGTTGGCTCTTGATCCATAGCTCTTTGCTTAGATAAATTGGCTGTGGTGGTGACAAAGGCTGAGGAGATGTAATAGTATTTCCTCTCCTTCCTTCCTTCCTTCCTTCCTTCCTTCCTTCCTTCCTTCCTTCCTTCCTTCCTTCTGTGCCAGTCCAGTGAGAACAAGCACTTTCAGGTCAAGTCTTTAGCAGTTTTGACACATGCATGCACACACAGGCATGTCCACACACAGGCACACTATAAAGGCATTTAGCATTCTTTAAACAATTATTAAATCTATAACGCTGATGGTGAATAGACTTCCAGTTTTCTCTGTAGCATTTTATTAAAGCCTTTTGGAATTGCTGGTGCCGAGCTAGGGAGTAGGGATGTCATTTTTATTGTGGGGCCGTACACTTCCTCCATTCTCATGTTTTATGAACACAAACCACAAAATCACAGAGCTGCACCAGGCAGACTTGGGAACAAACTCAGGATATAAGTCAGGCTGCTTCACGGGTTACCAGATTTCCATTTCAGTGAAGAAAGAAACATGCACTTAGACCCACGCTGGCCTCAACCCAGAGACACCTGATCAGGATTAAGTTTCACTGAAGGGAGCAAATTAGTCGTGACTTGGGTCACCTGATCTGGATCGGGGCACAAGGGCAATGCAAATGGGGGACTGCATCTCACGCCTGAAATTTGAATGTGCATCTGCCATGCCTCAGTTTGCATGTTGCAAATTAGCCATGCATCCATTTGCTCATCAATATACCCCATCTGCATAGCATGGTTCCAGAGCTAGCAAGGCCTGGAAAACCACTTGTGGACATTGCTTCTGTTGGTGTGTCTCCCTTCTTGGGTCAGGTTGAAGTATATGTCATTTTTAAATGTTCAGCATGATGGGTTAAAGCCAACCTGTAGAACAAGCACGGTATAGTCAGTCAAAGAATAGAGCAGATTTGGTGAATGGTAGTAAATTCTGTGTTCCCAAGCATGGCCACTGTTTTATGCGTCCTTTTCTAGAGTTCTGTGTGTGGAAGGAACAATTTTCTCTCTCTTATATACTGACAAATGCACTTGTATTTATTGTTCAGAGAATGACTTTGATCTGTACCCATTATAGTTTCCTATCAGTTGAGACTCCCCAACCCATCCCTCCCTATACATATAATATGCAGATTCTGTGCCAGTCCTACCAGTATCGGTTGCATTTTTAAGACAGTACTTCTGTGTGATCCTACTGTGTGTCGGTAGCGGCAACTTTGTTGTAAAATGTAAGCGGGGGGAAGAAACTTAAAACTGAATTCTTGTGTTCGTGTTTGGCTTATAGAAACAGTACTGAGACTTGCATGTTCATGATATTGCAGCCTTCGCCATCCTGAGGCCCTCCAAATGTTTTGGACTACAAAACTCATCACTCCTAGCCAGCGCATGCGCTGATGGGTTTTGTAGTCCAAAACATCTGGAGAGTCCCAAGTTGGCGAAAGCTATTGTACCGATTATTTCCCCTCCTCATTGCTAGTTGTTGCACAGTTATGCAATTGTTTTCAGTTGTATAGGAAACTTGCATTCCTTGTTTGTTTGCTTGTTTGTTTTAAAATGGGGATTTGTTACAATCTAATTTTTTTAATAATCTGTTTGATTGCGTTTGTGTGTGTTTTTTTTAAACCACACCTGCTCTTTGCTGCTCAGGGGTTGCTGCCAGGAGAACATTTTGTTCCCCAAACATGGTGATTTTCATGGACTCCTATCTTGCATGGTAGGGTGACACCACTGCTTTGCTCAAAGTTAGAGGAGGTCCCTGGCCATGGAGCTTTGGCTCTAGGTTTCCCTTGTGGCAGTAGCTGAGACTGGGAACCAGCCACCCTTGTCAATTTCCCACAATGCTTTGGGATAGCCTTTTCTGACCTTGGGTCCTTGGGTGTTGTTGGACCTCAACTCCCATCAGCCCCAGCCAGCATGCTCTAGGGCACTGTGGACTACTTGAACTGGCAGGCAGGTTCGTGGAACAAGGGTGGGGATCTCAGCAGCTGCCTGAGGGATCTCATGTAATGGCGCCAAGCCTAGCTTCATTCAACAGCACCCCCCATATGAACATAGGAGTCTGTTGGATCAGGCCCTTGTAGTTCAGTATCCTGATCAGACAGTGGCCAATCAGATGCCCATGGGGAAACCATAAGCAGGGTACCCAAAGCCCCCATCCCTTTCATGGGACACCTACAAGATCTCACACACAAATATTCCATCACCAGCCACTCAATCGCTTGCTCAGCTCTTTCCGGTCTCCTCATTCTTAGGAAGGCTATAGATTAGAGCTGGAGCTTTTGTTCCCCCTTGCTTAACTTCTGTGGTTAAAAAAAGTACATATTTTTAAAAATTGAATGCAGACTTACTGTGCTGCCCCAACCAAGCTCTACTGAATTCAATGGGACTTGCTCCCAGGTGAGACTAGGCTTGCAGCCTTAATCATAGACCCCCTGAAAACCATAAGCCTACTCTAAGTATGACTAAGTATGAATCCAACCCATTAAAAAGGCTGTTTTGCCCAGTGTAACATTTCTGAGATGTTTGCTCGGTTATCACCATGTTAACTTTTGACATGTAAAGTTGCCATACACGGTTATTTTTTAATCATCCCAGGTTCCTAAATTAAGTATTTTAAATCCATCATCCTTATCAGACAAGAGGCAGTATTTGCAATGGGCAGGAGCCAAATCAAAATGAAGCACCTTTAAGGCTACAATCCTATGCACACTTATTCAGTGGGACTTGCTTCAATGGAAATGCATATTATGGAGTGGCGAAGGTATCAGCTGGTGGGGGGACTGTGAGGTGGGGGCCTCCCAAGCACTCACATACTCAACCTATGGGGAGTTTGGATCCAGACTTTTGGGAGTGGGCCTATTGTTTAATTCACCTGTTTCCACACTTGGATGGAATCCCTTGTGGACTGCATGCTACGGTCAGGCATAATGTCTGTTGTTGTTGTTGTTTTCAAATGTGAAAATTGTAGCCAAGTATAGCCCATAAATATTTTAAAAGCAGCAAAGTGTGTTGGTTTAAAAAAAGAGGAGGGAGATGCATTTGTGACAATGTCTTTTACAGTGCCAAACATATGAACAGTATTGTTTTGAAGGAAGTTAAGACTTTTTTTACTGTATTATTGAACAAATATTGTTTTTAAATGTTAGATTTTGAATAATTTTGTATTGTAAACTTGTTTTGTGACATGGTGCTTTTTCATACTGGAATTACTGATTGCACCTGACTATAATTATTCTGTTTTCTTATATGAATACATAACCTCAAACAAATCTTTATGAAAACCAGTGTATGGCTGAGACCTGAAGTTTGCAAATATAAAGTCCTCCATAAAGCCCCTAAATGTTATTGCCTCTAATAAATATTCTGCTGCAGCCAGGCTTTCTGGAAAGTTCCACTGCATTTCTCTGGGGGAGGGAGGAGACAGGCAAAGAAGATAGTAGCCATTTGTGAGGAAACAGCTTCATAACTCCCATGATTCTGACCCTGCCAATGCCAGTGAAGCCCCCTCTTCTTGGAGAAAATGAAAATAATAATAATAATAATAATAATAATAATAATAATAATAATATAATTGTTTCCCATCCATCTGACTGGGTTGCCCCAATCACAAATATAAAAGCATAATAAAACATCAAACATTAAAAGCTTTCCTATACAGGACTGCCTTCAGGTGTCATCTAAAAGTTGAATTTGTTTATCTTCTTGACATCTGATGGGAGGGCATTCCACAGGGTGGGTGCCACTACTGAGAAGGCCTTCTGCCTGGTTCCCTGTAACCTCACTTCTCTCAGTGAAGGAACCGCCAGAAGGCCCTCGGCGCTGGACCTCAGTATCCGGGCTGAATGATGGGGTGGAGACGCTCCTTCAGGTATACTGGCTGAGACCATTTAGGGCTTTAAAGGTCAGCACCAACATTTATTGATTTAGTATTCATTAACATTTTTATCCCACTCTTCCTCCAAAGAACTCAGGGCAACGGACATGGTTCTTATCTCTACCTCTTAAAAATAGAATAAAATCCTTTCAACAACCCTGTGACGTAGGTTAGGAAGAGAGAGAGGAGGGCTGGATCAATATCACCCACATGAGCAGGTTCAAATCCGGGTCATCTGTAGAAATTTCAGTACCGTGCCAATATGTAATTGCTCCGTAAGAGGAAAAGGAGAAATGGGAGTTGGAATATGAGAACTCACTTACATGCCTCCTCCTTGCTTTTGCTGCCTCTTCTTCAAGCACAAGAAGAGCGAAAAGACAAGGAGAAGGTACAACCACCTCTCTTTCCAGGTAGTGCTGCAAGCATTAACTACAGTGGTACCTCGGGTTAAGAACTTAATTCGTTCCGGAGGTCCGTTCTTAACCTGAAACTGTTCTTAACCTGAAGCACCACTTTAGCTAATGGGGCCTCCCACTGCTGCCGTGCCGCTGGAGCACGATTTCTGTTCTCATCCTGAAGCAAAGTTCTTAACCTGAGGTACTATTTCTGGGTTAGCGGAGTCTGTAACCTGAAACGTATGTAACCTGAAGCGTATGCAACCCGAGGTACCACTGTAATGTGAAGCACTTGCTTGATACATAGTCATGAATGGACATTTTCTCTCGCCTCCAATCTTCCACTCCAGCACCTATACTCAGGGGTGTGTGGGTGTATTCTGTGTGTGTGCGCGCGCACACACACACACACGTAATCTTAACTTTTGTGTTTCAGGACCAAACATGTCCAAGGCTGGCCCAACACGCCCCCCAACTGTGCACTGGTGGATTAGCTTTCATTTACTTAATAAAAGACCATGTGGCAAATTCACAAGTTCCCCATCACAAAAGTGCAAGCCCATTCAAGCAAATATGAGTCAATATTCAAAATGCTTCAGTGTGGAGCCGAATAATCTATCAAACACCAGTAACAAAAGAAAGAAAAGAAAAGGTGGTTATATCTTACGAATATTTATTTCTTTCCCTCTTAAAAATGTACAAAAAATAAAATAAACCTGTATGTTTATAGATTTCCCTCTCCCATTTACAAAAAAACTATTAAGTTACACAAACTAGTTTTCTTAGAATAAAATAGCACACAGTGTTTATACATGGAGCTTTCTAGCTTTCCAGCTAATGGGAACTATGCACAGATTTATTTATTTTTTGGCACAAACAAATCCTCCTGTTTGCATCATGTCACCCTAATCTGGGAGAAACATTGAGGGGAGGCAGGGAAGGGGAAGGGTTACAAGAAAAACAAACATTTTACATGGCTGCACACTTTTAAAAACTTTAAACAAGTCTATTCATTTCCAGTTCTGCATGATGTTGCTGATTGAATCCATAACAACCGCTTTTCAGTTTCCTCTCTAATAATAATAAAAACTCAAGCAGCTATGTTAATTTTGCAACCTTCCAACTGGTCTACAGAGATCAGAACAACAGGACCAAGTGCTGGGGGAAATGGCTTAATTCATAAATCACATGGTTCTGTGTACATATCTAAGTCATTTATGTTTAGGAACAGACATTTGTTAGCAACAATGAAAGATGGTAAAAGCTCCCTCTTCTTTTATGCCCATCAAAAGTAAAATATGATTTTTAAAAAATTGGTAGGCTAGGTAGACTCTATGTGATTTATTTAAAATGTGTGTATAGGAAGAGGACTGAAGCAGGCCTTAATACCCTAGTAATTGTTATAGCCATGTCAATATTAGTTACATATCAGTGGATGGACAAGCAGAACATCTACATGTAATTGCAGCCTGTGATGGAGTGTTATCACTCTGCAATTCTTATACAAATGCAGCTTATATAGGACTAGGGAGTTTTCTTTCCTCTCTAAAAACAAACAAACACCTAAGTTTCTAGCCCTTATTGACTAGAAAGGCACAGAGGGCTAACCTCATTAAATACAACAATATTTATCTCTGGATAGATAAAGGGGGCACCAGCCAGTCTCAAAAAACAGACACAGTCTTCACAGTGTAGAGCTTTACTTCAGAAGATAGCAGTAAGGGTGATTTTTGTTATGTGGCCTTCTTCAAACTTTTCACCTTTCTAAAATGTCTGGCATGCCAAGGTACTCATGAAGATTTACCCCTCAACACCAGTAAATGGTTCTGAGGCCGGTGATCTGAGAGCAAACCTACGCACACACCTGATCTTCCTCTAAGGCTACCCATTGTTTGAGGTAATTAATGGAAGGACAGCTACCCAATTGGCCCTTGGGGACTGCTTGAAGATACCCAAGCTTCTAAGGGATCCCATTGGCTCCCCAAAACAAAGTCTGAAAGCCCACTTTTATCATTGCTTTGGAATGATCATTATGCTTAAGTGCTAAACCACAGAACAGAAGGGGTAAGTTATCATTTCTTTCTGGGTTGCATGGCAACACCATGGTTACATAGAACATCGGGAGCTGTGCCTTTGCCAGCCACCAAGAAATGTTCAACAGGTGCAATTTTACCTATCACTCCATGATGGGCATAAAGAAGAAGAAGAAGAATGCAATTCTTGATTTTCACTCTGCCAGGCAGTTTGGCAGTGAATTATCAGTTTGCTGTAAAAATGGCTCCGTAAGCTCAATTGATTCTGAAGCAATGCTAAATCAGCATGTTATTCACTTCAGATATATCAGTCAGCATAGCTTTACATGACTATAAGGGACATACATGCTTATGCAAGTATACACAAATGAAGAGGGTGTTTATTCTCTCATGCATTTTGCATACAGTGCAGATTTAGGACAACTGTTCTGGCTCCTCTCCCCCTTTAAGAATCAATATTGGTGGAACTCAGAAATGCAAGATTGTGACCAAAATAAATTGACCTTAAAACCATTGAACAAAAGTTTTTTTTTAAAAAAATGCATGCATCTCATAATGCAACGTTTGGCATTTTTCCTGTAACATTTGAAACTTTGAAGAAATAGAAAAGGACTAAGCTGCTAAGAGAGTATCGGCAGAAGCAAACACTCCTGAAATTTAGGTCAAGTTAATTTACATACCAGAAACCTTTTAAGAAACATTCCTCTCCATAGCACCATTTTGCTTGAGCAAGGAACCTCACTCTTTGAAGCTCTGACTATCCCAATCAAAGGAGTGCTTGAACTACATTTGCTTTCCAAAGTTATTAAACAAATTACAGGGTTTCATCTCAGATTCCTATTTCATAATCTCAGGGTTGCCTTTAAAAAGCCTTAAACAGAGTCCAGCTGCTAAGTATCTACAGTTCCTCAATCTCAGGCCCCCAGGTGTTGGATTGCAAGTGCTATCATTCCTAGCTGGCTTAGGGATGATGAGAGTTGTAGTCCTGGGTTGAAGAAGGCTGACCAACACTGGCTGGCAGCAAGTCTCCAGGGTTTCAGCCAGAAGCACTGCTGGAAATAGGGGCAATCAACTCTTTGACCTTATGCAAGCAAACCACGTTTTGCTACCAATCTCTGGCCATTCCCAGCAGCCCCATGGATGGAAGTGCAATGAAAAAAATGTCTACTACATACCGATTAAGACAGGCTGAGTAATATGATCATACAAAAACAAAGTCTATAGAGTCAGGACTTGATATGTACATTCAGACCAAAGTCAAGGGAGGCGTATGTACATTTTTACATTTACAGCGAGACCCATCAGGGGGCACAAGGACATTCATCAAAATGAGCAGAGGATCCATTCATCCAAGAAATTTGTTCCCTTCCTGCCACAACTCCTGGGAAGTTGAATGGGCAAGGGAATGGCAACTAGGGATGAGGTGGGTTGGGGGAGTGTCAGAAGGGCAGGGAAAGGAGACAGCAAAGATTAAAGGAGCTGAACAAGGGGCAGGGAAGCTGAGGTGAGTCACCAGGGCATGGGAGCATAGGCTGCATCCTTTTTCAACTGCAACAAACTGCAGTTCCCTAGATCAGCTCTTCTGAGGATGGGAGGGATAGAAAGATGCCTCTTCAGGCACATGTCACCCATCCCCATCATGACCAGAGGTGTCCAGATTCCCTTTCTTGGCACCATTTACATGCATGCGGAGTGCATCCCCAAATCTGTGCCTGAAATTTGTACACTGTGCGAATGGGGATCTTGGCTATTCATTGATTTCATTTAAAAAAGAAAAGATGAACCAGCAAGCACCTGCTCAGCTGGTCTCGAACAGTGTTTGCTGAACCAAATCCACCCACCTATTAAGGGGGGGACACGATGGCTGTCTTCAAATACCTGAAGGGCTGTGATGAAGAAGAGGGAGCAGAGTTGAACTCTGTTGCTGCTCCGGACGGCAGGATTAGGAGCAACGGGTGGGAATTGCAGGGAACTGGATTTCAGCTGAACATTCGAAGAAGCTTCCTAATAGGACAAGCTGCAGAACAGGCTGCCTCAGGAAGTGGTGGGTTCTCCTTTGCTGGAGGATAGAATCAAAGATGTCCATCTGTTGCAGATGTTGTAGTTGCACCTAGCAAGCTGCATGCAGATCCTGCAATGAGCAACAGGCCGGACTCGATGACCTCCAGCTCTACGGTTTCATGTTTTTATGACTTGCTATAAATAATAATAATAATAATAATAATAAAGACCTTCTGGCTCAGTTTAGGCTTGGCTCCAGTTTGCCAGAGGCTCCCAAGGAAGAGGTGAGCTGAATGGAGATATATCTTCTGAAAGCCCAAACTCAGAATCGGAAGCAGGCATGGAGGGAGGAGAGTGTTGGTGGTACTGGCACTGCCTCAGTTCTCGCTGCCTGCAGAAAATGGAGGGTCTCATCCAACAAGGATGCAGAAGACCAAAGGATGAAATCCAAGGGTGCAAAGAAAGCATAAATATTTCAGAAACCAGAAGACAAATCATTCGGAAACTGGAAGACAATGTGGTATCCTTGAACAGAAATGGGCACGGGAGGGTGAACGAGACCCACAAGCTGGTGGTGCAAATGTCGGGTGTGCCACTGGAAGGAGAATTTTAACGTTCTAATACGGATGCTGGAGAAGCCACTCAAGAAAAGGTATGTATGGAAACGTCACTGAATAGCTAATGGCAGAATCTCTCTCCTCAGCGAGAGTTGCCTGACAGCTTCTAATCCCAGGATTAGAAACAAGAGTGGCAGTAAACACATCCACACAGGTAGGAAAAATATATTATTACATATTATAAACATTATATACAAAGGTTAAAAATGGATGGTGCTTTACTTACAAATGACACGCCATCCAAGTCCCTTACTGACAGTCCTCAATTGCCCTGTGCTGGGAAGGATATGGCTAACCTACACCTACACATTTGTTTGCTGGTAGTTTTGTACCAGTGAACATGATCGGCCACTTTCCTTGCCATGGATTAGAAGATCAAATCTTCAAGCAACTTATTCTTGAAAGTTTCAATTTTAACTATTAAGTCCCAGGTGAACTAATGCAATTCCACAATTTCATTTTCTTCCACATTAACTCTTTTTTAAAAAGTCACCGTTTCTCCCCTGCGGTGGCGAGAGGCGATGTCCGCAGTCTGCTATGTACAGATTGCAGCGTGAGGAGCAATAAATAAGGAACTTTGTAAAGGTATGTTAGTTCATCTTGAACGGACTGGTCAATGACAACTGGGCTTGTTTCCTCGCTTCCAGTGGAGTTTTGTAACAGCCTCTCTTCTTGGCATCCGTGAGTCATCAGGGCTTTAGAAGAATGGTCCCCTTCCTTAAGATGAGGGTGAAATGCTATGACTTCACTAGGCTGCGTTCTGATCTGGGCTAGATTTCCGTCAACGTGACCTTGTAGCCTTCCCCCAGACTCTCCATGTTGAGGATGAACGTGTCTTCATTGGAATAATGTTCAATGATGTTATCATCCATATTTACCAAAATCCTGAAATCGGAAAGGAGTGTCAGTAAATTCCCCCTAGTTTCACATATCAGGATAGATTCAGATGGCGAATCTGGCATGGGGTAAGGGATGTGTCTGTCTGTCTGTCTGTCTGTCTGTCTGTCTGTCTGTCTGTGCATTTGCCATTTGTGTGAATGCTTTGACACAAGCCATAGCACAGCTCAGTGTCTCCTGGAGGTTCCAGCGAGCTTTTAAGTGTCAGTGAACAAAGTAGTTCTTCTTTTTGAGTAAATATGCATAGGATTCTAAAGTTAGACATAAAATCACAGTTGGAAGGAGCCATGAAAGTCATCTAGCCCCAACCCGTGCAATGCAGGAATCTTTCACCCAACATGGGGCTTGATTAAGAGCCTTATGCTCTACCAACTGATCTATCCAGCCTCATTCTTCAATCTTCAGATAAATCCAAACCAATGTAACCCCACTGAAACATCACAATTCAACCAAATGTTGAACTGGAAAGTTGCTTGGGCTATATGGATCATATTATTATTATTATTATTATTATTATTATTATTATTATTATTACAGATATTTGCTTGCTGAAAAGCAGGTTACAGAGGAGGCACACGAAGAAGGGCCTCAATGATGACCGCAGGCTCTGGGTTGGTTCATATGGGGAGAGGCGATCCTTGAGGTATGGTGGTCCGGAGCTGTTCAAGGCTTTATAGGTCAAAACCAGGACTTTGACCGGCTAATTAAACCTTTCCTGGGTGTGCAGTCAGGGAAACAAGATAGCAAAGGTGGAGGGGTATTAGGTGCTGGGCAGCCAATTAATGCCACAGCATAGACAAATTCATTGATGTGATAGCATTGTAGTCCTATTATATTTTCTTCCTACTCATCTCCCTTGTTTGGGGAATACTGAAACTCCAGATTACAGAGGCTTCATTTCCCCCCCCTGTTGCCGCCATTCAATCTTGGAGGTAATTAAAATACTAATTATCCTCTATTTAATTTGAAACACAACTGAATTATATTGTACTTATCACAGACGACCTCTTCTCATGTTGCAGTAGTGTTGAGAGAGCTGCTGCAGAATTGTTGTCTGTTCCCAAGCTGTGTGGGTAGTGTGAGAAGTCCAAAAGTCAGTGCGAAATGTCCCGGGGTCAATGCTTCTCCCCTGCCCTCCCCCCACAGGGGAAGGGGAGAAGGAGCCACAATGCAGGCTAGTCCCACCTGAGCCCAGGGCATATCACATGACTTGAGGAGTCTGGGACGGGTCTGTGAGTTGCTCACCTAGGACAGAATCTACGGCAGCTGAGGTCTCAAGACACTGTAAAAAAAAAAAAAAGTGACTCGGAGCCGAGGTGAGATTTTGTTTCCCTTACTTACCCCTTTTTGCTCTTCTTGTACAGCTTTGTAATCTTTTCAGCTGGAAGACCGTATTTCTCAGAAATCTGAATTTAAAATTTAAAAAGAACAAGCAATTATTAAAAGCAGAACCCGTTACCACCAGCTTCAGTTCAAGAGTGTGGAGAGTGAGTGTGTGTCTTAAAAGCACCCAACTTCTCAGCACTTCTAAGAATCAGGCTTAATGACCTGAAGAAATGTAGAGCTTCCTGCCATTTTGAAAAACCTTTGCACCTACAGTGTAAAAATGCATTATATTAGGAGAAGTGCACATTAGTCAAAACTGTGTCAGGAAAAATTCACAGTACAATGCTGAAGAATGTTCATGACGATTAAAACAACCACCACCATGTGCAGTTCGATGCCTATATGCGGAGAACTGAATTTAAGATTGGAAAAATGAGAAGCCGAGACAACTAAAATTGACAGATCTTTCCATCGCTACTCATAGCACATCCAAAAACAGTCTTGCGTAACCCCCACTAAATTTTGTACAAAAGTCATTTCCAAAAGCACTTCTCTCTTTGCAAATGCAAACATCGCATTAGTGTTCACATCACACCTTTCCTTGTGACTCAGCCTCAGGGGAAAGAAAGAGATCTAGGCCCATCCAAAGACACTCACAAGGCACTTGGCAAGCAGCTGACTAGTAAGTCATCTTAATTTACAAGGTCTTGAATGGGGGGGGGGGGGAATCCAAACCGCAGAAGTCTTTACAAAACAAAGCAGGAGGCTTTGGGTATGAAAAGGACTGGCTGAATAACTAGTATTTCAATCAGCTCTGAATGCAGAACATCCAATAGGTTTTATTGATATTTTCGAAGAAGCAGCGCTGCTGGGAAATTAGTTGAAAATAAGGACTGAGAGTCACCACCTGGTCACCTGATGGCAATTTCCAGTTACCAATTGCAACAAGGCAATATGTTAAAAGCAATACTAAAAATACTCAGTTTAAGTCACTGGGTGGTTCTTCCCTGTTTAGGGAAGTTTTTAATGTTTGATGTTTTATTGTGTTTTTAATATCCTGTTGGAAGCCACACAGAGTGGCTGGGGAGGCCCAGCCAGGTGAGCGGGGTATAAGTAATAAATTATTATTATTATTATTATTATTATTATTATTATTATTATTATTATTATTATTATTACCTTCTAGCGATGCAATCTTATATATGTCTGCTCAGAAGTATGTCAGATAAGTATGTGTAGGACTACAGTCTAAGTGGTGTAGAAATCTCTTGATCCTCCCAATACTCCCTTGAGTATGTACCAACATCTTTTTATACACCTCTAGAACATTTCAGATTGCTTGGACAGGTCTCTTTTACTTCACAGTCAGGGCTTTTAAAAGAAATCTTTTAAAGAAAGAAATCTGGAATGGGGCAGCGGAGAATCGGAATACATAAACAAATCTGATCACACTTTTCCAGGTCATGGATCGGGGTTAGAGGAAGTTCTGTCCCAACAAAAGTTGCCTCTGCTGATCCTTACTTGTCAAAAATGCTTTATTCCTCAAAAACAATGTGTTATGTACAGCAGCCATGCTCTTGTTCCTTCTAAGATGTTTGACAAAGCAGGATATTGTCACTGAGAGCTCATGTTAAACAGTTGCTCTCTAAGGTGCCGTAGTACTTTCTTGTCACCAGAAGAAGCATAATTGCAAAGATAAACTGCCTGCTCTTCTGGGAAATAATAGCAAATGGGAGAAGAATGAAGCAAATTCCAAATATGAGAAAATAAACAAGGGGGAAATGTGCAACTTGTAAACAATGGAACTTCCTTTTAATATGTTATGCTCTTGCTGGGATGAAAGCTTTTGAAAACAACGTTGCTAAAATGAGGCACATGGCACTGCCAGACACAAGCGTGTGTGCTTCTATGTGAACTGCAACATGTTTAGCACGCATTACATTTTCAAGGTATTTTTTATCTTGCCAAGGGCAAAATCATGCCTGGGTTAATACGCAATGAAGAGTGAGGGAAGTCAGGGTGGTTCCAGTGCAAATGTTTGCAGTAGCAGAGCATGGGAGTGTACGTGAGAAACCTTGGCTCTTTCCATAAGGGTTCATCTTCAAAACCTCTCCTCTGAGAGATTTCTGTTTTCTAAACTCCACCATGTCCCTTTGTGGCAGGCAAGCACATATACAGGTACCCTGATCTAGCAGGAAGAATCCATGCACTCACTGCCCTTCTGGAGAAGGCTGCTTGCACATGTAAAATAGTGATGTACAAACAAGGTGTGCAGAAATCTTCTAATCTGGTTTGTCCTGACCCTATACCAGGGGTCCTTGAAAGGGCAGGGCTGGCTACACTATTGCCTGTGGAGATCTCTCTCCACCCTGCAGTCAGCATATTGTTGGCCAAGGGTGAGGGCCTCCTTATAGCACTCCTCATATCTACAAATTTTGAGATGCACCCTTTTTGACTGGAGTCCCCCACAACAGCTCACAACATTCATAAAAGGCAACACTTCCCACAAAACCATACGCTTTGAAATTTGAAACTATCAAAAGAAAAGATATTTGAGGTGGAGGAGGAAACAGGAGAGCAGAACTTTAAAATCTTGATGCTCCCTTCCCATGGCTGACCTGGTAAGGAACAGGACAGTCTGAGTGAACCAGCAGCAGACATGGTGATGGGGCCTGTTTTTCCATGGATCTCCTCCTTATTCCAGCGTGAATGTCTTTTAAGATTTTAGATGTGAATGGGAACCCATGGGTATTGATTGGGCACATATTGTTACAGGGAGAAGGGAACCAACAAATATACATGATAGAATAAACAGTTCAGCTGAAGAATGGGAATCACATTATCTCTGAAGCCAGGGGAGATTTGCCAGTACAAAGAAACTGAAGATTGGGCTGCCTGCTCTTAGAACTAGACTGCTATCTTCTCTAGCATATGCTGCCTTGTGAATAGCTATGGAGATGAAAAGAAACCTCAATGCCAGAATTTAAGGTGCTAAGAACACACACACACACTAGCATGCTCACAAACTGCACCCATTTTCTACAAATGCATTGCAAGCGACCACATCCACGGAATCTTGCAAAGGCGCAATGCATCATGGGGACAACATCTTTTGGCCTTTGGAAACTTCGGAGTGCTTTTGTTCGAGAGTCCGTGTAGCTTCCCTTGGTAGTTCTACATTCTCCTCCTTGTGATTTGATCTCTCTGTTGGCTCCGTCTCATTGGATGACAAGCCCTGGTGTCTCAGTGGGCCTCTGCCGGGCAGGGAGGTGACAGCACGATAAGGTGGGTCCATGTTGTTTTCCCCAAGGCTGAGAGATAAGAGGCTTGCCAGGGCCGCCTCGTGAGTTCACAGCACAGGTGAGATTTAAGCCAGGACCTCGTACTTTACAGCTCAATCTCTCTATGCTGCTTTAGCTCCAGTACAATATTCTAGGTGCGTCTGTGGGCTAAGGTGGCATGGGTGCAATCTCTTGGCCACTACACTACACTACAAGCTTTTTCAAAAGAAGGACTTGCATGCCCTAGGGTGCTAATGTATACCACAGGACCCAGAGTCCAAATTCGTGATGAATTCTGGATACAGTATTCTCATCTACAGACCTCCTTTTTTCCAAAACGAGATCATTTACTTTTGCTGAAAACAAAAGCAACTGCAACGCAACGCGGCCTGGGCCCTGCTCAACTGGCAGGACAAACATTCCCATGGCCTGTACTGCACAATGGAGTCCCAAGCGCAGCTCTTTACTAGCCCATGTAAATGAATGGTTTCCAGGCCCGGAAATGCCCCCCCCCCGGATCCCCTACTCCTGACGTGGCAACTCTACATTGGAGGCTAGGGGCATTTGGAGGAAAGAAAGTGGTAGCCGCCCACCTTTGACTTTTGTCCTTTCAGTGCTGGGCCCTGAAAAGAAAAGAAGGTTTTGCAGGAGAACACAGGAAGAGCCTGCCAGATCAGAAAGACTGTGCAGCATCCTGTTCTTACCGTGGCCAAACCTATGAGGAGCCTGAAAGCAGGACCTGAGGGCAACAGGGCTCTCCCCACTTGTGAGTCCTGGCATTCAGAAAAGACACCACCTCCCAAGGTGCCTTCCTTCTTTCCTTGACTCTGGGAAGCCTAAACCTTTGCAATGTGGATTTTGCAGAGAGCTGTGATGTGAACCTGTACATCAAGGATGGGGAAACTGAGACCCTCCAGGTGCTGCTGGACTCCAACTCCCATCAGCCCCAGTGTGGCCAATGTTCAGGGATGATAGGAGTTGTAGTCCTTTTAAATGTGTTGCCTTTTAAAAATCTGTTGGGGAGGGAGAATTGTTGGGTTGTTCTTATTTTTATTATGTATTTCGTGCATTCATATTGTGCTTTTATGTTGCGAACCGCCCTGAGACCTTTGAGTATAGGGTGGCATACAAATTTTAATAATAATAATAATCCAGAAATATCCAGCAGGCCACAAGTTCCCCATCCCAAGGAGTCCTTGTTAACATCCAAGCTCTCCCTCTTCACACACAAATACCCTTTTCTCATAAAGATGTCGGTTTGCTTGTCAGCACAGTTTTGCACAAATACAAAATGTAAAATTGTTTTCCTTTCTACGAGGAAGTTAAAGCAGAGTGTGTGCTGTTGTTGCTTTCTTCAACTGCCCACGATAAATGAAATTGAGATGACAGAAACTTACCGCTTCCATTAGTCCCTTTACAGTGGGCGATTTTAACATCAAAGCATCAAACACTTCGTCAGCCTCTTTCCTCACGTAAAGCAGCACTGAAAGGATGAGAAGCAAATTTTTGGAATAGACACAGAACATTCCCACAAGCAAACTACTCCCTCTTGGACAGAAAACTATTCCTCTCCAACAAATGACAAGTGAAAAAGGCCAGAGACTCGTGTTAAAAATAAAACTATCCCATGTCACAGAGCAGGAGGAGCATGTGCTGATTTCAAAATATCCAGAGGAAAATGATGTGTTCTTTCCACAAACCGCGCCACCCCCCACAGGAAGCAGTTGTAAACAGTCACACCCATTTTCCATTTCAGTTGGGTGATAGGCAGAGATTATGCGAAATATACTGACCAGTAAGTGGAACTAATTTCCTTGTCACGCTAAGCAACCCCACAAACAAAATAACTATTCTCATCAAAAGTCAGAATTTCCTGGAATTCAAACAGTGGGTTCAGCTGTTGGCAGAACCAGAATTTTGCAGTTGGAAGGAGGTCTTTTCAGTCTCTCGCTTAATGGAGGAATCTTGCAAGTACAGCATCCCTGACAGCTGTCTGTTTAGCTCTTCCTTTGAAGGACATGCCACCTTCCTCCAAGGCAGTCCGCTCCACAGCTGAACAGTGCAAACCATTAGGAGGTTTCTGTAACATTTAGCCCTTGCTATTTCCACACATTAATTCTAATCCTGCCTGTCCTCTAGGAAACACAGAAGAAGTCTGCTCAGCCTTTTATTTAACAGCCCCTCAGATACCCAAAGGACGCGGGTGGCGTGGTGGTCTAAACCACAGAACCTAGGGCTTGCCGATCAGAAGGTCAGCAGTTCGAATCCCCGCGATGGGGTGAGCTCCTGTTGCTCAGTCCCAGCTCCTGCCAACCTAGCAGTTTGAAAGCACATCAGTGCAAGTAGATAAATAGGTGAAGGTAAACAGCATTTCCGTGCACTGCTCTGGTTCGCCAAAAGCGGCTTAGTCATGCTGGCCACATGACCCGGAAGCTGTATGCCGGCTCCCTCGGCCAGTAAAGCGAGATGAGCGCCGCAACCCCAGAGTCGTCCGTGACTGGACCTCATGGTTAGGGGTCCTTTACAGATATTCAAAGACAGCTATCATGTCTCTTCATAATCTTATCTAGCTCTTTTAACTGTTCCTCGTAGGACTTCATTTCTAGACCCCTCACCCTCCTCTCATGTGATGGAAGACACGTGTCTTTCTCATAGAGGTGGACACCCCCTTCACTACTTCCTTTGCGATGCTCAAAGAGCAGTGCCAGCACATAGCACATGTGCAACATGTAGTTTTAGATGCAAGCATGTGCATGCTGGTGTAGCTGGTCCAGAGGTAAAATGCATGACCAGTCAGCCGCCTTATATGATGCTGGACTTCAGAAGGGGGTCAAATGTCTCTGGTGTTAAGATTGTCAGAGGGGGGCCTGCTTAGTAGCTCCATCACCCAGAACTCCAGGGTATGGCAGCACAGAAGATGGCATTTTCTGTGGCAGCCCCTAAGCTGCCTCTCCATAGATTTTCACCTGTCACCTTCATTGTGCAGTTTTTGCTGTATGTGCCTCTTTATCCTGGCCTTTGTTGTTGATCGTGTTGGCACCCGTCTGTCTCGGGAGACAATGAAGGAGTGTGCCTTTGCGGGTGTAGTCAAGTCGCTGGAGAGTTATGCCTGCTGTGGCTGTAGACCCTGATATGGGAGAGACATGTTTTGTTGCAGCTGGGGCAGATGAAGGCATCTGGTTGTTGTGATGCTGCAGATGCACCAGGGCGTTTCTGCGTTCCTCCCAGCGGTCATTTCTCCTCTGGTCAGCACTGTGGATGCACAACCTGACTGTCTATCTCCAGGCACTGTGGCTGTCTGCAAGGGATTCCCACACATTGGGGTTCATGTTGTCAGCCTTCATATCACATTTGCAGACATCTTTGTAACTCGGAGTTGGTCCGCCAACAGGCCTGGTGTCTGAAGCCAGCGCCTCGTACAGAATGTCTTTGGGGATCCTGCTATCTTCCATTGCCTGCTCATGACCAAGGCAGCGTAGACGTTGCTAAGACTTCAGCATAATTCAGAACTATATTTCCATTCTGATTTTTTCCTTCCCTCTGCCCAATTACTTTCACATGAATTCTGACTTAGGGAAAACTGAGAATAAACTGGTACCTCTTTTTGTTCCTTCTTCTTTTATTTGCTTCAGCGGTGGTGAGCTGAAGTCTTCTTCTACTGGCCGGAATATCCTTTTAGCCAAGATGCTACTGTAGTGGGAGAAAAATAAGAAAGATGTACCAGATTTATAGTACTGGGGGTGGAATTGTTACCCATAACTTGTTCTAATTGTAGCTGGGAGGCTGTGCTACATTGTGGTTGCACTGGCCAAGACTTTTGTCTTAGTACTTTTGACAGGCCTAGTCTAAAAAGCAAGGTTACAGTTTAATTTCATGACTGTGTATTACCGTATTTTTCGCCCTATAGGACGCACTTTTTCCCCTCCAAAAATGAAGGGGAAATGTGTGTGAGTCCTATGGGGCGAATGCAGGCTTTCACTGAAGCCTGGAGAGTGAGAGGGATCAGTGCGCACCGACCCCTCTCGGTCTCCAGGCTTCAGGAAGCTATCCGCAAGCCTTGGGAGCTCGCGGGAGTTCCCGCCGGGCTCCCTAGGCTTGCGAATAGCAGCCTGCATCCCGAAGCCTGGGGCGTGCTGGGCTTCGCGCAGCTCTGCACAAGCCGTGGGAGCCCGACTTCGCGGAGAGCTGCCTGCATCCCTGCGGATAGCAGCCTGTTCTGGGGGCTGGGGTTGGGGGAAGCTCGGGCTTCCCCCGCCCCAGCCCTGCGCCTGGGGGGGGCAATAAATTTTTTCCCCTTTATTCCCCCCCCCAAAGCTAGGTGCGCCCTATGGGCCGGTGCGCCCTATGGGGCGAAAAATACGGTATATTGATTTACTACTATAGCTATACAAGAAGCTGCATGTATTCTACAAACGGAAACCAGTACCCTAAAAATCTAAGCACACACAACTTGTTTCTAGCAATTATGGATCACAAAAAATAAAATAACAAATAAAATAATATATACAATATGTCTTAATTTTCATACAGTGTAAACAGATCACAAAGTTCAGCTTTCTGAACTACAAAATTTGGGTTACATTTTGCAAAAAAATATATGCTTTTTTGTCAAGCACACACAGCCTTGAAATAAATACCAAGACTATTGTTATATGAAGACACACAACTATGTGTATGATTAAAAGGACAACAGTTTACTTCTAGCGCAAGACAACAGGAACAGGAACAAAGTAAAGAAATCTGCCTCTGCCATGACAAACGTTAAAACATTGGAATTTAAACTGCATCGGAACTTCAGTACTTGATTATTACTACTATTATTTTGTCAAGGGGGTTGAAATTCTGCCTGCAAAATTTACTAGACAAAAAAAAGAAAGACTTACCCTTCTCGCTCATCATCTGTGTTATAGTAAGCCTGTAAGAGCAGACAAAGAACAGATTCATTATTGTCATTTCACTAGGTGTTGCGACACAGAAGTGCTAATGGAGAGACAGAGCGGTTGCATACATGCCAATCAGATGGTTAGTACAGAGTTAGACTATTGCTCCATCCAGTTTGGTATTGCCTGCGTCAAGGATAAGAAACTGTTTTTTTGCCCAAAGTCCACATTCCCTCATGGGCAACTTCAAAGAAGCCTTATACCAGTGGTGTGGCAGGGCTAGATGCATAAGTGGATGGAGCAAATGGATGTGACTCTCACGTTTGTGCAAAAATTACATTCCAGCCATAGACCATGCATATTTCTCCATCTTCCCTCCACACCAGCAAGAGTCACGATTACAGTCCAAGGGCACATTCCAATCAGGCCTAAGCATCCAAGCTATGTGTGGGCCTAGGGAAGAATTTGTAGCCTGGGATCAAATGGAGAAGCCCAGAGCGCTGCATTTGGGCATCTGGTTCTCCACCCCTGGTCTACGTTGACTAGCAGTGGTCCTCTGGAACTTGAGACAAGAACCGTTTCAAGATGCCAGAGATTAAATGTGCCCATTTCTGTTACTCCCAGTTGTTTTTCCAGACTTCAGTTCATCCTATTTCTCCATTTGTTTGTGATTTTTTTTAAAAAAAATAATCATGAAAATTCACACACATTTTTGGTATACAGTTGTGCCTAACTTACATTCTGGCAAACTGTTTGCTCTAGCACCCTGCTTTTTTGTACATTGTTTGCACCTATACAGTGGTAGGTACCTAGGCTTAAGAACTTAATTTGTTCTAGAGGTCTGTTTTTAACCTGAAACTGTTCTCAACCTGAGGTACCACTTTAGCTAGTGGGGCGTCGCACTGCCACTGCACAATTTCTGTTCCCATCCTGAAGCAAAGTTCTTAACCCGAGGTACTATTTCTGGGCTAGCGGAGTCTGTAACCTGAAATGTCTGTAACCTGAAGCATCTGTAACCTGAGGTACCACTGTATACACATCTTTATATACACTTTCCCCTAATACATAATGTTTTTGGCCACAGAGCTGCCCTGCAACATTCAGGAAAGTGGCAAGTTCAACGGATAACTGGGCTTTGGTACATGTATTGTTCTGGGAAGTGCCAATATGGGAGGTCCATATTAAAATGCAAAGGATTTCTCCCCTGTCCCTAAGCTCTTCCAATAAGGTATGCCATACACCCCAAGAAAGTCAGATAGAAGCTTATACATGGTATTTTATCATGCAGTTATAAATCTTTACATCATCAAGTTATATACAGTGTTTCTTAGGTTAAAACATAATTCTGGCTGAAAAGGTTGCAATGCAAATATATTTTCCCACTGCACAGAGATATATGTATGGGGCATCATGCAGTCATAAATCGTTTCATCGGAAAGCTATATGCAATCTTTCTTAGGTTAAAGCATGATTTTGGCTGAAACTGTGCTGACATCTTCTACTGCATCTAGTCTCTTTCTGTGCAGGAAAAAATATTTTTAGCTGACAGCTATTAGCACAGTGTCTAGGGTGCTAATACCTTCTAAATGATGGCTGATTAAAAGAAATTAATGGTAAACTCCCACCCCTGTCAATTTAAGCTTTGTTATGCTGAGCATTCTAGGCAGATCTGATAGCTCTGTTCATCATGTTGTCTGCCTTAATATTATTTGGACTCTGAGAGATATTAACAGAGGGCGATTAAACAGAGGGGGGAAAACTATGGAAGTAAATTCTGTTTTCCCTAGGATAGACATCACACTGAGTTCTTTGAATACAGTTTATGTATTCAGCATTATTTTAATTATTCTCTCTTCCTAGATACATTGGCTCTGCCCATCTGTTATACTTGGTCCATAGGGTGTGGGGGAGTGTCAGGGAACTGCCGTCGGAGCCTAGAGTGGAGGTAAGGCTCCCCAACGATGCAGGAGAAGGGACCAGCAGGGGGAGAGAGAACACTTCCTTTGAGGAAGGAAATAGGAGTGACACCAGGAAGCAAGGGGGAACTGCGGAGAGAGGGCTCCAAGACTCTTCCACAGAGACCAGCGGGGAGAGCCCAGGACCTCCGTTGGGCACGCCCACTCTGCGCAGGAGACTTCCACGCAGGGAGGCTAGGAGGAGACTTGGCGTCAAAGAGTTTCTATGTTGGAAGAAGTTCAGGAAACGCCCACTGACAGACTCTGCCAGCGACTGACACAGCCATGGAGAAAGGGCTGTCCAGCCAGGGTAAGGTTTAGCCAGGCTACGTTGCCTAGAACAGTAGCACCCTTTACGCACAAGCAACCCCAACTCCCTTTACAGGGAGATTACAATCCAACCAGTCAGGTTTCCCACCCCTGATTTGCACAAAGAAGAAGGGAGCACATTAAGTGGCTTTTGATCGTGTAAACTTACAACGCTTAACATTTTATGATTTTTTAAAATTTCTTGTACAAATCAAAATAAATAGATCTTATTCACTGTTAACAGGCTATTAAGAACCATTTGTTTCAACTGTGCTGAGCAATGCCAGAACAGATGATCTGTACCATGGGCATGCAAACTAAGGCCCGGGGGCCGGATCTGGCCCAATCACCTTCTAAAGCTGGCTCACATATGGTCCGGGAATCAGCATGTTTTTACATGAGTAGAATGTGTCCTTTTATTTAAAATGCATCTCTGGGTTATTTGTGGGACATAGGAATTCGTTCTTTTCCCCACCTTCAAAATATAGTCCAGCCCCCCACAAAGTCTGAGGGACAGTGGACCGGCCCCCTGCTGAAAAAGTTTGCTGTACAAAGAAGGTCTCTGGTTCAATCTTCGGCAGCCTTAGTAGGATCAGGCAGCAGGCGGTGGTACCCAAGGAAAGGCCCTGCCAGTCAGAGTAAATAACAGTGGACAATGGAGACCTACTCTCAGGCGGCTTCCTAACTCTCAAACTGAAATCAACAAAATACAAAAAGGGGGCTACATTGGCTGGATCATGCCCATTCGGTTCTGAACTTTCGATAGCAAAGGTGGAGAACCTATAGCCCTCCAGATGTTGTTGGATTGTAGGTCCCAGCAGTCAATGTTCAGACATGATGGGAGCTGCAGTGTCTGGAGGAACACAGGATCCCCGTCCCTGCTCCACAGCACCTCAGTGTTGCAGATGTGAAAATATATCCTCCTCCAGGAGCATGGACCAAGAAGCCCGCTAGGATTTTATGCAGTTCTGTAAAGAATCGGGCAGTTGTGCCTTCCCTCATTCCTTACCTGCCCAGCTCTTTGCAGGTTCCCAAAATGAACGTCTGGTATGAAGAGAACCGGCTGCGAGTCCAAGTCAGCCATGGTTTTGAAGTAGGTGATGTCGCTCTTCTTCTGGAGTGGGACGGTGCTCAGTTTCCCTTCAGCTGTTCATAAGAGATGGGCGGAAAAGTTCATGAGTGGGGCAACCTGGGAAGTACAACTGAGAGCAATGCAAACCAGACTACAGTCCTGATGCTTTGGACTACAACTCCCAGCAGCCCCTGGCTGCGTAGCCATGGAAGTTGCAGCCCCAAACACCTGGAGGGAACCAGTCTGGCCAAGGCCGAAGGAAGGGCATATCTCCCTCACCATTACTACACGGAGGTTGCGACAGCTGGCCTTTTGCTTTCTTCCTATTTTGCTTCCTTTCTTCATCCCGGATTTTCCTCTCGGCTCCCTGTCGTGAGAAACACAGATATTGATGAGTCTACTGTGCATGGTGCCTCCCTCCAACAGGGATAACTGGCTCACTGCTGTTATAGCCGGCCCAATTCATTCATCCCATTATTCCTGTGCCGCTTCGAGGGGCCTAGCCCACCCAAGGCAGCTCACAATATCAGAAAGGCACCATACGCGGCACAATCTAAAATAATCAAAATGAACAAAGGCCACAGCATTGGCACATCTGAAAAAGGCCAGTTAAAACACTTATGACTAAGAGGACAACTAAATGGAGGTGGATTATATAACACAGCTCTGTAGAAAAGGTCGTTAGCAAAAGGCAGTTCGAAAAAGTTGGGTTCTGAAAAATGGTTTAACAATCCAGAACATGGAGGCCATTCACATCTATCAAGGGTAGCAGAATTCCAGAGTCCTGGATTACACCCACACACACACACACACACACTGTGGGAAGGATTAAATTTGGGTTTCTGCAATTAAAGCCCATTAAAGCTCCTACTTCTTAAAAAATTCACATTCCGTGGTAAGGAAACTGATAGTATAATGTGGGATAAGAATACAGTGGTGCCCCGCAAGACGAATGCCTCGCAAGACGGAAAACCCGCTAGATGAAAGGGTTTTCCGTTTTGGAGGCACTTCGCAAGACGAATTTCCCTATGGGCTTCCTTCGCAAGACGAAAATGTCTTGCGAGTCTTGCCATTTCCCCCCCGCTTCCCCCCCCTTTTCAAAGCCGCTAAGCCGCTAATAGCCTTTTAGCAGCTTAGCCGCTAATCCTTTAATAGCCGCTAATAGCGCTGATCTGCTTAGCCGCTAATGGGGTTGCTTCGCAAGACGAAAAAACCGCTAGACGAAGAGAATCGCGGAACGGATTCTTTTCATCTTGCGAGGCACCACTGTAAATTGACATCCCTCCTCTGCTGCTGCTCTGAACCTTGTTTCGTTGCTCCTTCCTTCCACATCCTTCCCCCCCCCCATGAGAAAAGAGTTTAAAAACGCTTAATTCAGTCCAACTTAGCAATGCTTTCGGCTACATCTCCTCCAGGCCATTCCAATTTCCCTGATCAAGTGGATCAATTTTCTATTTAGAAAACCATCCAGAGCATGGCAGAACTAAACACCAACTCGCAAGCCTCAAGGTTCATAGCCACCTTATTTTGCAGCCGACACACAGTGAAGCAAGTATATAAGGGAAATAAATGAAACGGGGCGCATAACTTTGCAGAGAGACAATGCTGGCGCACTATCAGATTATGCCCTCTGTCCTGAGGCACCCGCTGGGGTTGTCTGCATCCAGCCCTTAATCCCCTTCCCCCAGGAGGCACAGGACGAATGTATTAATACCAGCAACAAAAATAGTCAGAGCTATAATGAGGACAATTAAGGGAGCCTGCAAACAAGTACATCCAAGCTCACAAACAAACATTAAAAAATGCAGATGTGTCCCGTGGGATTTAAACACTCTCTCTGTTGACCTGCTGAGCCATTCTGCAGCCGCTGCTCTACAATAAAGTAAATACATAACGAAGGAATTCCATGCTGCTATGTGAACGATAAGGAGCTGCGCATTTAGCTGGCAATTAAACTATAATTCAGTGAAGAAACAGAAATCTGACCTGTTCCATACCATCAAAATGCTCAGAAAGTTACTTGTTGGGGCTAATACTTCTAAGACATGGGTGGGGAACCTTTGGCCCACAGGTCTAACCAGGCCTCCCCAATTGGCCCAGATACAATTTTGGCCTACTCACAACTCACTGCCCAACCTACACCTGTGGGAAGTGGGGTGGGGTAGGGTGGGGTGACTGAAAGGGGTTTTGCAGGCACTACCAATCAGCTGCTCAGTGATGCCAGTTCAAAGAGACAGCACACTGAAAGGGGTTTCTGAAGACCTGACATCAGCTGAATCAAAGACCATTGGCAGACAGATGTAGAAACAGGGAAAACCCAGGAAAGAGAATAATATGAGCTGATAGGACAGGATAAAAGGGAGGGAGAAGGGAGGAAAGGGGCAAAGCCAAACATCAACAAAACGGAAAACAACAAAACTGAATGAATGTAAATTAGACAAAAATAGCTGTAACTTTAAAAGATAAAGGGCCACTGACAGTTAAGTCCAGTTGCAGACGACTCTGGGGTTGTGGTGCTCATCTCGCTTTACAGGCTGAGGGAGCGGGTGTTTGTCTGCAGACAGTTTTTCCGGGTCATGTGGCCAGCATGACTAAGCCACTTCTGGCGAAACCAGAGCAGCGCACAGAAACACCGTTTACCTTCCCACAGAGTGTTACCTATTTATCTACTTGCACTTTGACGTGCTTTCGAATTGCTAGGTTGGCAGGAGCAGGGACAGAGCAACAGGAGCTCACCCCGTCGCGGGGATTTGAACTGCCGACCTTCTGATCGGCAAGCCCAAGAGTGGTTTAGACGACAGTGCCACCCACATCCCTTAGCTATAACTTTCTCATTACTTAATTCAACACTTAACCTAAAGTCCATTATTTAGCCCAAAGCAATTAATATCTCCTCCCTCCTAGTATGACTTTGGGTTCAGCCAACCCTGTTGAAGATGAATGGCCAAACAACCTGTCTTTTTAAGGGGAGGGGAGCATGCTGAACCTGTCTGCTTTTATTTTGAAGAAAAGCACTCCAAGGTCCCCAGTCTGTAATATATTATTGGTTGGATCGGGTCCTCATACCAGTTTCCTACTGTAAGGCTACTATATGACCTCAATGATCTGTGTGCAGTAAACAGCACCTTAGGGGGCAAATAACAACTGGGGAAAATATGTTTCCTGAGAAAACAGTTTACAGTCAACAAAGGGACAACACAGCCCAGGCTGGTCTCTCCGTGTTCCTACCTGTCACCTCTAGTCTGCAATATGATTAAGGAATAACATAGGCAGAAATCTCCATAGACTGTGGCAGGAGATGGGAGGACGGTTTCAGGTGTGTAAACCATGGACAGTTAAATCCAGGCAAAGGAGAGTATGGGGCTGTGGCGCTCATCTCACTTTCAGCCCGAGGAAGCAGGCGTTTGTCCACAGAGAGCTTTCCGGGTCATGTGGCCAGCATGACTAAACCGCTTCTGGTGCAAGGGAACACCGTGACGGAAACCAGAGTGCACAGAAACACTGTTTACCTTCTCACCGCAGCAGTACCTATTTATCTACTTGCACTGACGTGCTTTTGAACTGCTTGGTTGGCAGGAGCAGGGACAGAGCAACGGGAGCTCACTCCGTCGTGGGGATTCGAACCGCCGACCTTCTGATCGGCAAGCCCAAGAGGCTCAGTGGTTTAGACCCCAGTGCCACCCACGTCCCACAATGCTAGGAAGCATTGGAACGATATCAAACCCCTTCAAAGCTGCAACTTCAAGCCTTGCTGGATGAAGAAGAGTGATTTTAGAAACTATTCACCCAATCACTTCATTCTCGCCAAATGATTCCAGGGTGCAATCTACTTTAAGCACGGGTTTTTACAAAAAAAAAAAAAAAAAAATTCTGAACCTGGCTCATTTGCCACTGTGTGGATATCAAGACTCTGAAGTTCCTGATTGCAATTAACGTCCAGGGAGCCAGACACTTGATGGGATGGAGGATTTACGAGGAGTAAAATGAGATCAGCTTCACATGTGATTCTCTCTCCTGCTCCCTCCAGTTTTCTGATGTAGAAACCTGCAGTACAGCTGTTCAGACCAGGGCATATTGGAAATTCAGTGAAACAAAAGGAATAGCACCCAATTGTTCTGATGGTTTCAGCTTAAAAATAAGATGCTATTGAGCCAGACCACTGATCCATCTAGCTCAATATTGTCTATGCTGACTGTTAGCAAGTCTCAAAATTCCAGACTGGTGAATCTCCCAGCTCTAACCAGAGATGCTGGGGATTGAACTTGCAACCTTTCACATGCAAAGCTGATGCCCTGTTACTGAGCTACAGGGTCTCTCCCCCATAAAAACCTGCCAAAATGAAGCAAATGTATAAAAGTGCATTTGCCCATAGTAGCTGGAAGGGACCCCAAGGCATTTAATCCCACTCTTTGCTTCGAGGCAGGGCTGGGCAGTTCTAAGTCCCCAACACCAAGGCATTCAGTGTTAAATAAGCCCTTTGTTCATCACCATAGACTGCAATGATATGAAGGATTTTGGCACCCATCGCCCTGTAGCGATGATCTCCCAGCTTGACACCAAAGCCTCTATTACGCAGCCATGTAATTCCGGTCTGCATCCCGCTGCCTTGCACTTTGCGTTACTATTTAAGTTGGTGCCAAATCTGCGAATAAACAAGCTACCCTTTCTGTAGCATTTTATTCTCACTTAGCAGATACAGAAAGTGGGGCGTAAGCCGGTGGGAACCATGTGAAGATCTTATGGATTTAAGATGCTAATGCAGGTGGCATCCGGGCGGCCATCACAGCACAAATTCTGCATAACAGAAGCTCTTCCCTGCTGAGTTTTGAATGGCTGAACCTTTGAATGCTAATATTTGTCATGCTCCGTTAGTCATCTGCGTATTATCTTAATCATTCCAAGTCCCGAGCACGCTAATGTTGGAAGTAATTTTTGCAGGAATCTCATAAGCGCACATGCTGCTCACAGCAGCTTTCCTTCTTTCATTTTTCCCTATTACTTGACACTGTAATGCACCTGGGACTAGGCTTGGAGGCTATTATTTACATCAACTGTGTCAAAATCAAATCTGTTTGTAATCAGGAGCCCATAGAATCACAGGATTTTAGAGCTGTAAGGAAGGGCAGAGGATAAAATCAATTCAGTTTGCATTGAAAGCCGAATTCAGCACATTTGCGCTTCCTGAAACAGTGTGAGAATGGGAACTCATTCATCCTTCAAAATCCACATGGAGCCAAATCTTGCAATGCTGAATAGCCTTTGGAGAGAGTCTCCCAGATGATTTGCAAAATTAGATACAGATGCATCTTAAAAACAAAAGAAGATCCTGCTGGATCAGGCCAATGGCCCATCTAGTCCAGTATCCTG